GTCTATCTAACTTGCCAATGAAGAAAATTAGCATCACATTTCATAGGTGGCCTCTAGGTCTACATACTTATATGGAAATTCAAGAGTAATATGAATTTTGTAATATTGCAAAATGTTGCTTAGCTGTCATGTGCAACTGTTGCAATACTACACTAATCTGTGAGTATTTTAGGAACTAAGAATTGAAACACAAATAAAAGCAAGAAAATGGATTCTCTGGCATTATAGGGAAATGATACTTTGTAATACAAGTATAAACTGCCTTTAGTGTAAGAAGAAAGAGTCAACAAGTCAATTAATGATTCTTTTCTCTTACTTGTTGCTTTTTCCACTCAATTGCTCTCCATACTCTGAAGTAATGACCATGTCCCACATGGGCAGCAACCCTAATGCCATCAAGGCTGTATCAGTTATATATTGCTACATAACACACAAGCTCAGATCCAGGGCTTTTACGAATGATGTATTAAGTTTCTGAAGGTTGGCCAGATACGTTCTTTTGCTGGTTTCACCAAGGCTCATTATAATGCATGCCTTTTAGGGAATATATGCACATATCTCATTGGGGTATATAACACTCTAATGAATTCTTAAAGTCAGTTTTCTCATCTTTAGATTAATCCCTGTAGGTAATGATAGAATACTGTAGTTTCTATCTCCAAAATATCCATCATGTCTCAAACTTTAGTGTTCTAAGGAATCACCTGGGGAACTTATTTAAAATGCAGATCACTGGGTCCCACCCCTAGAAATCCTAATTATATAGATGAGTTCCAGGAACCTGCATCTGCTAGGAGTTCCCAGGACTACACTCTGAAGAATACCAGTCTACACCAGCACCACCTCGACGCCACAGTAACAGGCCAGGGGCTCTAGTTTCTCACTTACTGTACTTGCTCCTCACTGATAGCCCTGCCCTGGGGCACACTAATCTAGCAATTCTCATTACCAGTTGCATATGTAAATCATCTGGAGAACTTTTTAAAAATTACTGATACCTGTGCCTCACCCATAGCAATTAAATCAGACTCTGGGAGTGAGGCCCCAGCTACCAGTATTTTAAAGCAACTTGGTAGATTTGACTGTGTAGCCAGGGTTGAGGACAACTGTTCTAATCCATCTGCTGCCTCCAGTGGACTTCCTTACGATGCCTTAAAGTATTCTAAGGTTTCTTCTTTATGAGAGCATAGCTTCCCAGCCTGTATCCCAGAGAAGGCAGGCAGGCCATCGACTGCCAGTGATTCGGGCTGCTCTTGAACCTGTAGGTTCCTGGTACATGCAGCGTCTCCTGCGGCTTCCTGGATGGTAGCCTGGGGTAAGCCAGGTTTGCCCGTGTTCTCCACTGCCCACTGCAGACGAGGTGCCCATAGAGATGCCAAGGGAGAGCATGGCCTGGGTGACCAGGAAGCTCAGTCCAAGGTATGACTGGTTGGGGGAGGAGGAGTCTGCAAACTGGAGTGGTGGAAGGCTCAGCTTCAAGCAGTAACCTTGAACCTCTGTCTTCACGCGTATCTGAACTTTCTGCCCAAAAGTCACTGATGTTCTGTCTGCATGGTGACAGAGTGACCGCTCAAACAGTGCATGTGCATTGTAAAAATTGGTTGCATTATCATTTTGAAAAATTTGATTTGAAGACATGAAATTGGATTTGAAATCTAATGGTATTATCACAATAAATCTTAACACTATATTGAGTAATGAAAGAAAAGAAAGAGCTAACATTTCCTTTAAATATAATTTCAGACGCTAGTTTAACAATTTTAGATGCTGGCTGTTAAATTGTTTTAAATTTGTATCATATACTTGTATGATTAAAGTTTTCTTTTAGTGGGTACTAGCTAAAATATGAGGAGGAAAATTCTAAAATCTTGATTAGGAATCGTGTGTAGCATGAGCTATCATAAAAAATATTTTTAATGTTAAAGGCAATTATCTACCTGACCTCAAAGTTTTAAAGGTTATCAAAAGTAAGAACTTCCATTTACTCAAAAACTCTACAAAGTGGGTGAAAAGACAAGCCCCATGCTGAGAATATATTTGCAACAGAAAAATTCAATAAGGAACTAGTATCCAGAATGGACAAAGAATGCCTAAAAATCACTACGAAAACAGTGGACAATTCAATAGGAAAATGGGAGCAAAAACTTGAACAGGTGCATCACAAAAGAAAAAATATGAGTAGGCATCTTAAAAAACTGCACATTTGTATCCTTTGATCATTATCTCCCCATTTCATAACCACCCCCCTTCCCAAGACCCTGGCATTCTACTCTCAGCTTCTCAGAGTTCGACTTTTTTAGATTCCAGTGAGATCATACAGTATTTGTCTTTTTGTGTTTGGCTTACTTCACTTGTATAATGTCCTCCCGTTCTTTCTTGACTATACAAGGAATTCCTTTCTGGGGGGTCCTCTTTCTCCTACAAAATCAATGTTTACCTCTGTATCATTTCCATTCACATGCTAGCCGACCCATCCTGCTAGTCTTATATACCAAGTTCTACAAACTCTGCTCCTTCTTCACCTTCTATTCATTTTTTAAAAATATTAATTTATAAGTAATCCATGAACACACTTTTTAATGAAACATCTAAACACTTACAGATAAAACTTAAAAACCATCCATCTCAATCTACCCTCCTCTCTAGAAGTCACTGTTGTGATCAGTTGAAAAATGCTTCCTTGGAGATCTTTTCCTGTTAATTTACCTGCAAATTTACCTACAGAGATATCTGGCATGTTGTGTTTTCTACAAATGGAATCATACTGTTCCGTGTTAATATTGTTCTGCCACTTGTTTTTCACTCAACAGTGGTGTTGAGATTTTCCTATTTCAGTATTAATAGTTTCTTATTCTTCCTATATTACCTAGAAAGGATTTATCATGTTGAATCCAACCATTCCTCTATCGATGGAGATCCAATTTTTTTTGTTGCTATAAACAACAATGCAACAGTCATCCTTGGACATGTCTCTTCCCGAACAAGTGTGAATTTCTCTAGGACACATATAAGAAGTGATTCAACCTAGCTTCCATCCCCATGACTCTGTAGGAATTTTGTGTTGCCATCGCCAACCTCCACTTTTTCTTGCCCTTATCTTTCTTAGCCTCTCAATAGCATTTGATTATTGACACTCCTTCCTTTGCTCTTCCCTCTGCTTCCAGGGTAAAACCCTCTACTGTTTTTTTCTTCTTCCCTTCAGCTGCCCTTTAGTCTTGGTTAGTTCCTACTCTACTTGATCTGTTGGGCGTTCTTCAGGCTGTCTTGAGCCCTCTCCACTCTGGACTCCCTTCTGGGTGATCTCATATATTCCTGTTTTTAGGTGCCATCTGTATGACACTGTCTTCCAAATTCCTATCCCAGTCCAGACCTGTCCTTGGAGCTCTACACTAGTACCCAATGGCCTGCATAGCCTCTTCACTGGAACGCACACTGTAGAAGCACCTGTCTTGACACACCTGGAGACTGATGCCCTGATCACCACCACGTGCTTCCTCCAATCCTCATCTCACTCATCACATGGCACCCCCACCACCCAGGGGCTCAAGCCAGAAACCTGGGCTCCATTCTTGGGTCCTACCCTCACAAGTCCCTGGACTCTGTTCCATCTCAGTACCCCCTCACTGTCCCTGAATCACAGCAACCATGATCTCTGGTCTAGGTACTGTAAAAGCCTAACTGGGTTTCCAGTTTTTAGTTTCCTCCACAGCTGCCAAGAGGAACTGCTACCACCCGTGCACGATGGCGCCTGTCACATCTAGAACAAGTGAGGCCTTGGATGACTGGGCCCTGCCACACTACCCTGCTGTCTTCCATGCTTCTCTGATCATTCTACAACATATCAAGCTCCTTCTCCACTCGGGGCCTTTGTGCATGCGATTCTCTGTTGGAAAGTGGACTCCCTGGCTGGCAGCAGGTTGGGGTCTTTTCATCTGTCGGGTCTCAAGTTTACAGTCACCTCATGGAACCCTGTCCCAGCCACCTGATCCAAAGCAGGCCCCCTGATATTCTCAGTTACTGTGCCCAGTTTTTTGTTTTGCCTCAGAGAATGCCCCACAGTCTAGTATCTACGAGTTTGTCTCCTCTTCCAGAACATAAGCTGTGAGGGCAGGAGTGTATCTTATTCACAGCAATATCCCAGGCCCAGCGTGGTGCCTGGTGTGTCACAGGCATTCCATCAACATTTTGGGAGATCATCTAAGGTCAGCACCCTAATTTTAGATGAGGTAAGAAACTCAGGTAAGAGGCCCTCGTTTTACCACGTATTCCGAGTGTTGCATGGAGAGGCAGTATACTAGTTAGGAGCCCACATTTTAGCACCAAACTTCTTTGGTTCAAATCCCAGCTTCTCCACTGGCTAGTTGGAATAGTCTGTGCCTGTTTCCTCACTGGTAAATGGGGGTTTTATAGCATTTACAACTAATATGATTGCTGCAAAGATTAAATTAATAGAAGGATGATGCCTTGCATATGATTAAGTCTATGACATTCAGTTTTATAAACTTGAAAACTGTTTCTTCAAGCATTCCCCTTGCCCCTTGTTGTGTTTAGAACACAGGAAACAATGTTCGTTGTATGAAAGAATGAATTAATTTCTACACTCTTTACCACCCAGTTGAAACTTCCATTTGCCCTCTAAAACTAGACTTTCTTAGATACCTCAAGGAGAATCAAAATCCCCCTTGCGAGTCAATCATGAAGAATTTCTAATGGATACAGCACAGCATAGTGGATTTACTTGCTAGAACAGAGAACACTCTTCTCTACTTATACGGGTCAAAACTAAAGAATTTTAACATCACACTATTCTCTATTACCTATGTTGCTTCCAATAAGAGATTTTTCTAGAAATACATTATGGTGCAGTAATAATTTTAAAAATCATAAAACAATCAGAGGCCTTCGAGGTTACTAAAAAGTGATCAAAAATATATGAAAAGAATTAGGACATTAAATGACAATTTCTCATTTATTTTGAAAGCTATTCAGACAGCAGACAGTATTAAAAAGGGTAGAATTAATATTTTATTATCATTTATAATCAGATGGCAGTTGGGTATATAGTCTCCATACTTCATAATTTTTGCAAATAAAAAAAATTACAAGTTTTAAATAGCCAATGGCCATTTATGTTTTCAGAAAACATGATTAGAGTAATTCATTAATGGTGGCTTCAAGCTTTTCCTTATTAGCTCCAGAAAATTCACCCACCTGTTAAGAGAGTATTGAATTGACATTAGATGTAGCATTGTATCACTTTTGACATAAGAGATGATCACAGAATTAGGGAAGAATGGAGGGTGTAGAGGGAAGAGAAAGCATAATCTTATTTAAAACAAACTTCTAGAATAGCATATAGTTCTCTTTTAAAGTTAAAAACAAAAAGAAAAAAAAATCCTCAAGAAAAGTCAAAGGCTTAAGTATAATTTTTTTTTTTAACACATTACCTTTTAACAATGACAAGTGAACTGGCCAAGTCTAAGGAATTCTATGTCCTTTATGATATAAATATCATGTACCAATCAGGGATTTAGTGACTAGTTCTGGCAAAGATCAATTTTCAGTTATTAACAGATGTTACATTATGTACTTAAGTCAATGAAGAATGACATATTTAAATATTCTCAAATGCAGAAAATAATGACATGCCTCACACTGGGAAAGGACATGTCACTTCAAATCTTTCTTCATTTATACCAATTTTCTTCTTGCCCAGTTAAGAGTTGTTAAAGGTGAGATGTACGTACCTTTTGTCCCTTTTTAAAAAACTGGAACGTTGGCATGCATTTGACTTCACACTCTGAAGCAACATCCTGGGAGGGGGATAGGGTAGGAGGAGAATAAAGACAAGAGAGCGAGCATTGAGCTTTGACAAAGGTAATCCAACACCAGATTCTTTCTCCTGTTTTGTACCCCACATTTCAGCATTAGGACATGTTTCAGCACATGAAAAATCAAAAACCAAACTAGTTATATTCTCAATGAAAAACATCTACCTCCTTCGAGGGGCACCAACAGGTAACATGCTTCCTCAGATACTCCACAGTGATCCAACATGCTATTTAATCCAACTAAGTTCTTGGCCATTTCATGTAACATGAAGAAGCAATAACATTCTGCTGTAACTGGATTCCGGATTATAATCTTAATTATTCCTCAGAATTTGCACCTCTTGTTTCTTGCCCATAGTTTTTCTAGTTTTAATTCTAAGAGTAGGGTACACCGATAATGATTATAAGGGCTAAAGTCCAAGTTAGCAAGAGGGACACCCACACACAAAGAATTAGTCAAGAACAAAATCACAATAATCTAAAGGAATAGCCCCAATATTGGTTTTATGACTTATTTTTAATAAAAATAACTGCTTAATTTGTAAGAAAATATACCATTTAAAAAGCTAGAAAAAAGACATGCTCACAAGGAAGTGGTTTTAATGCTTTGAGATGGATTCTTGAATTTTTTTTTTTTTTTTTTTGAGACAGAGTCTCACTTTGTTGCCCAGGCTAGAGGGCTGTGGTGTCAGCCCAGCTTATAGCAACCTCAAACTCATGGGCTCAAGCAATCCTCCTGCCTCAGCCTCCTGAGTAGCTGGGACTACAGGCATGCACCACCACGCCCAGATAATTTTTTCTCTATATAGTTTTAGCTGTCCAAGTAATTTTCTTTCTAGTTTTAGTAGAGACGGGGTCTCCCTCTTGCTCAGGCTGTTCTCGAATTCCTGAGCTCAAACAATCCACCCGCCTCAGCCTCCCAGAGTGGGATTCTTGAATATTTTTAAATTGTGTTCATATATTTTATTGTTTAAAATTGCAGCCAAATCTTTACATAGTACATTTTTAGTTAAAGCATTAAGAATTTCATTTCACTAAGTGTGAGAGTGCTATTTAAAGCTGACATAGGATTCAATTCCCCAGACTGGACCTTTAGGTTATTTCCAATTTATGTGTGTCCTCGCAAATAAATTCTCATACAGCCCTAGGGCAAAAGCCTTAAGTGGAATTACTGGGTTCAAGAAAAAGGTTTTAATTTATATTTTTATAGAAGTATAATCTGTGTTCAGTACAAAAAACAAATGGGAACAGGAAAGCTATCCATATTCTCTACTAGCTACTGTTAACATTTTATTATTCATGCATCAAAATACATATTTTTCTCTTAAAATCTACGCTATACGCCCTGTAACACATGCACACTAGGTACAATGCACATATAATGGGCTTCTCTCCAAGAATACAATACTTTTTATGGTTCCATAGCAGTCACTGTATGGATGTACTACCATTTGAACCAATTCACTGTTCTAATATGTAAGTGGTTTTGATTTGGCCTAATGTAAAGGCTTTTAATCTTCATCTGGAAATATCTCTGGAAACTGGTTCAATTTTTACCTCTCTCATCCCTAGAAGTAGAATTGCTGAAACAGTAAGACTTAAAGTCTCTAGATACATATTATTAAACTACCTTCCAAAGAATTTGTGTCGATTTACCAATATTTATCATGATTTTCGCTATTCACTTTTAAGACTTTTATGTAATCAAATCCATCAGCCCTACCCTACCCCATCTATTAAAAGCACAGGCTTTAAAGACCACACTGTTTTAATTCATCCAGCTAATCTCTACTTAGTTTTACTTATTTTTGTGCTTTCCTACCTACCCTCCCAACCCACTCCTCTCCTTGTTTTAAATTTTACAAAGTACTTATACTATTTCAGAATATCATGATCAATTTCCAAAAGTGTCAGGTTGAGACTGGGTTAAAATTAGACAAATCTGGGAGTACTGACATTTTAATAATACTGAGTCAATATCCAGGACGACAGTATACTCATCTATTAAAATCTTTTATGGATCTCAGTAAAGTTTGATAGTTCCATTAACTCTGTTTAATTTTATTTTTATTTCTTTTTGTTTTCTACTTCTTGTTGTATGGACTAGTTTGCCTATTCCCGCAGTGATGTGAAAGGTATGCATACTATCTGAAACTTCCTAAGTAGTTACACCTTAAAAGGTGTTAAAAACATACTCATTCTCAATCCTGTTTCATTATCACTCCCCTCATTTAAAAACAGAAAGCTAACCTACTGCTGAGGACACTTCCCACTTTTTGTTTTTTGTAAACAATCAGGAATTTAAAAAAATCTACATATAGCAAAAATCTTTTCTTTAAGGGTATATAGTTCTGTGTATTGACAGATGCAATCAGGTAAGCACCACCACAATCAGGGTATAGAACAGTTCTCAAAGTCCCTCAAAATTTCCTCCCACTGTCCCTCTGCAGTCAAACCATCCTCCTATGCCAACTCCTGATCTGTTCTCCATCTTTATAGTTTTACCCAATCTCAGATTTTTATTAGTAAATATAATAGGACCACATTTAACCTTATTAATTTCTTTAGTTTCTAGGTTAGTACTCCATAGGGCCAAAATAACTTTAAGCCTGCTTTGTCACTTCTATAATTAACTCATTCCTGGCTCTTCTAATCAAAATTGAAACACATGCCATTCTAAAAGGTTGCAAATTATTTTGGGTCTAAATTACCTTGTTTCTTGTTTTAATTCACAAAATAAGTATCATAACCTGTTGGCGGTCCAAGAAATATGATGTCTACCTCTTTCAAAAGGGCTAGTACTCATACTTTTCTATGAGTATATGGAGGCTAGCCAAGTTAAAGATCCCCAGTTTGTTAAAGGGTCACTTTAAGGTTTCAAAAGATGCTTTCAGCATGATGAGAGTGCCCCAAGCAGACATGAAGGAGAAGCTCTGTCATACTCAAGTCCTCGACTGCTTTGCATATCCACAGTCACGAGCTGCATAAGATATTTCTGTCCATGATGGATCACATATACAATGGTGATCCCATAAGGTTATAATGGAGCTAAAAAATTCCTATCATCTAGCAACTTAACTTCATAGTACAATGCATTAGTTGGTGTAAGTAAACCTGTGCTGCAATTACATAAGCAGTATAGCACTATAATTACGTGCTATAGGCCCTCTGGAGGTTTTCCAGGAGTCATTGTTACAGGGGATGACAGCTCCACGCAGGTTACTGCCCCTTAAGACCTTCCGGTGGGACAAGATGTGGACCTGAAAAACAGCGATATTGACACTCCTGCCCCTGGGTAGGCCTATGCTAATGTGTGTGTTTCCGTCATTTTTTTTTTTTTAAACTTGATAGTTAAAAACTAACACTTAAAAAAGGAAAAAAGCTTACAGAATAAGGATGTAAAGAAAATATTTTTTGTAGAGATATACAATGTGCTTGTGTTTTAAGCTGTTATTACAAGAGTCAAAAAGTTAAGAAAAGTTGTAAAGTAAAAGTTACAGTAAAATAAGTTTCTAGGTTAGCACTCCATAGGGCCAAAATAACTTTAAGCCTGCTTTGTCACTTCTATAATTAACTCATTCCTGGCTCTTCTAATCAAAATTGAAACACATGCCATTCTAAAAGGCTGCAAATTATTTTGGGTCTAAATTACCTTGTTTCTTGTTTTAATTCACAAAATAAGTGAACTTACTGTTGAAAAAAGAAAATTTAAAAAGATAAATCTAGTGTAGCCTAAGTGTTTACAAAGTCTGAAAGCATATAGTAATGTCCTAGGCCTTCACACTCACTCACCACTCACTGACTCACCCAGAGCCAACTTCCACTCCTTTGAGCTCCATTCACAACAAGTGCCCTATACAGATGTACCATTTAAAAAAAAACGTTAATGCCATATTTTTACTAAACCTTTTCGATGTTTACATATGTCTAGATACACAAATACCGATGTGTTACAGCTGCCTACAGTATTCAGTATAGTATCATGCTGTACAGGTGTGTACCTTAGGAGAAATAGACTGTGCCACATCACACAGGTGTGTACTATAGCCTATACCATCTAGGTTTGTGTAAGCGCACACTATGATGTTTGCACAATGACGAAATCACCTATGTATTTCTCAGTATGTAGCCCTGTCATTAAGCGATGCATGACTGTACTTCCCTAAGCTTTGTGACTGAGGCTGTGAGCGCACCTGTACTCAGTAGAGAAAGGTGCACTGCTCTGCCTCGATAGCCCTACTTCACTGTCTGTGCTGCAGTCACATTACCTGTTCAGTGGGATGCTAATAAAAACCATTCTCATAGTTACATGAGGGTTAAATGATGTAACTCATGCAAAGGGCTTACCAAGGCATCTAGCACATGTTATTACTTTCAAATAAAAAATAACTTGCTATTTGATAGGGTCAGTGGCTGTCAGAATTTTAGTCCAGCTGTAATTTTCCCCTGGCTACAGTGACTATATAGAAAAAATAAGACTAAGTTTGATTAAAACAGGGAACAAGGACTGTTTTCACAAAAGTGCAATGATACTGCAATTATACTCTCCCTTAAAAAAAAAATCTGGGAACAGTAATCTTACTTAACCATACAACACTCGCTCATTCATTCCACATGTACACTACATGCCAGGCAGGTGTGCTAGGTGAATTAGACAAGGTCCCGATGCCAAGAAATGTACTGAGGATAATGGTAAAGGACAGACACAGAGATCATTATAACAATAGCCAAGACTCACTGAGTACTACGTGTCAGGCACTATTCTTATCACTTTATAGGTATTATCTCAATCCTGACAACTACCTTAGGATGTTTGAGTAACACTGCCATTCCAGAAGATGAAACTGAGGCAGAGAAAAGATAAATAACCAAGACTGCATTGCTAATATGGGACAGAACTGGGAAATAAAGCAGGCAATCTAGGTCAAGGGTCCATCCCGTATCACCAATATACATGCAAGTGGTAGAGAGGGGCCAAGAACATCATGGGGAAACAGAGAAAGGGAAACAAACCTAGTCGGGTGCATAACAGGGGGTAACTGGAGAAGTGTTAGTGGAGAAGATGGAAGCTTATGACTAGGAATAAGGTAGGGAAGAAAAGGATAGGTCAGGTGGAGAAGACAGCCCAAGCCAAGGGAGGAGCCTTCCAAGGCATGAGCTAGAGAATGTGCTGAGAATATGCAATGTGGTGTTGTTAGGGTCTCAAATGTTTAGCTGGTGCTGCCACATACCTGTTTTAACTGACCCTTCAGTGCCTTTAACAGACTGTCTGCTCAATGAATAAGCAACCTTGGATTGATGGGGCAGGTATTAAGATCCGATCATAGACCAAGCTCAGGGAAAATGAGAGATTAGCCTAAAGCACATGCCAGTGAGCCAGGACTGGAACCCAGGTCCAGTGCCTCTGTTGCCATGTCTTGCCCTCCTCATCCCTTCTGCCATGCTGGGGCTAAGTGAAATGCTCACGCATCTGTAAAGAACACCAAGGTGATAGGAGGTGATACCTCTCCTAGGCCAGCAGGCTGTGTGAGAGGCAAGGTCATGTGCTAAGAACCTGATCTGCACCCACAAGACAAAGCATCCTCTAAAGGGTGGTGATGAACAGCAAAGGCCAGGAAGCCAAATGACCTTATTTTAAATCACTGTCACCCCAGGAACAACCAACCAACCTCTCTCTATTTCATTTTTCTCATCTGTAAAATGGGGATAACAACAGCACCAAGGATTCAATGATTGATACTTGTAAATCACATAGAACAGTGCCTGGTATATATCAAGTACAAACCAAGTTATTTGTTAAACAAAACCAACCCTGGGATTTCCCCCAAATTATCCCCTCAGCTCTCTCTCAGGCATTTTGGTGTTTACTGGTTAAAACAGTTGGGTTTCTAATGGATGAAAATCAACCAAGATTAGAATAGGCTTGCAAACACACATTCCCGTGCCATCAGAAGTTTACAAAGAACTCCTAAAGTGGTCTCATGATTTGGTGATTCCATCATCTATGGATTTAATTATCACAGTCAAATTCAATTTCTATTTATTGGGCACCTCAGAACACTAGGTAGAATGTAGGATTCTAGAGAGATGGGTGGCTAATCAGATACAGAAGCCTCATCCATCTGTTTTAGTGTTTATTTTAGGATGTGATATACTCAGCTCCCAACATCTGGGATTAAGCTCTTAATTGGGTACAATTACTTGTTCTTCTGAAATAGAACTTTGTAGACAGGGTTATAGATCTGGTATTACTTGACATATTTATAAAAATACACTATGCAATTCAGAGAAAAAGGCCAATGGGAAAAGCTGAGCAGTATCTTGAAATTTCCAGCTACGTACCTGACAGTCATCCACGTCTACTTCAAGGAACACCACATGGGAATACTTTTCAGAGAGGTTCTAGAAAATTTGAAATGAAACATTTAAAAAATTTAGAATGAGGTAGTCAACATACTGAAGTTTCTTAAATGGAAACTTAATAGAAGTAGACTAATTAAAGAGCCAAAAATCTACACAAGGGACTAGGAAAGCACAGGGGGATGTATGTTTTCTCTGAATCAAATTCTTCCTAGTGTAAAATAATTTGGCACATTAACTTTAAGGCCAAAATCTCAAAGACAGCCCATGTTTCAATTTGAAAAAGAGCAAAACCATTTAAGAAATGAACCTCTGAAAGTTGTCTTCAATGGGCTACATGTATCAAATTTAAATTATTTAAGTTGTTATACTATTACTTTTAGACCAAAGGTCCAGCTAAAAATCCCCCCAAACAAAGCCCCTTAACTGTCTTTCACTCCTAACTCTGTGACCGACCCCCCAAACACAAATCTCTTACAAAGTAGAAGTTGGTGGATACTCACATGAAAGAAAGGCTTGATCATTTTGCAAGGCCCACACCACGTGGCTGAGAAGTCGACTACTACAAGTTTATCTCCAGCAGCATCCAAGGCTTCCTGAAAAGCAGACTAAGAAGGGCAAAAGAAAAGCTTATGTTAAATAGTTTCATTTCCAAAAGCCTTGGAAACTTGACACAAAGACACAACTTTTGGAGGTCTTGCTTTAAGGACCTACTTTTTAAGAAAAAACCCTGCCAACAAGCCAAATAAACTAGGTTTGAAGGAATCCTACACACTGTTGGTACCATTACTTCGTAAGATGAAACAAAATGTAATGTGTAGAATAAATACTCATGTCTTTTACAAATATTTTATAAAATATTGTGAATCAAAAAAATAGGTATTTGTATTAAAACTGTATCCACGTCAAATCTAGGTATATGGTAGACATTCACTAAATGCTTACGGACTGATGAAAAGGGTCACTTCAATTGAACAAGTTACAAAGGCACAGGATTTTACAATTGAAATGTTACAAGTTACTTAAGAAAGTCTAGGAAACTAACCTCTCCCCAAACCCCAACACTCAAGACAATCACTGTTGACCATAAGCATATTTTCTTGGGCTTTTTTTTTATGGGGTTTCCAGAGTTGAGATCACAGTGTTTATCGACCTTTGATTTTTGCCCCTTATCTTAAAAGTACACCCTCACTGCTCAGTAAATGAACCATAGTTTTAGTTCCTCATGAAGGACATTTTCCTTAGATATTATTTTGCCTAAGGAATACATGTTAAATAAAATTCCCAGCAGAAATGATCAAGAAATCCCTTACGGCCAACCTCCCTGAATTATTTACCAATGGTGTTGATACTGTAACCCTAGGAACCTTACATTCTCGTTACAAAGGACTTTTTTTAACCACCATTAGTCAGTTAGTGACTGACCCAAACCAAAACCAGGGCAACAAAGATAAATCAAAAACACAAACATCTATATCTGAAATCTAAGTTTTATTCAAAGGAAAAATGCTGGTCAAATTGGTTGAATCAGAAACCATTCCTCTCCCCCACAAGATAAGCATCATTAGATGCTTATTTCCAATAAAGAAGGAAAGTGAATAAATAAAACACCATTTAAGGTAAAACTCCAAACAAAAAACCCCTAATAAGAAAACGAATGTGAATTCTCAAGTGGTACGGTTACTTCTCTAGATTTCTATTTTCTACTTCTTGTTTTTGGGGAAACAATTCACAAATGGTGTTCCTGAGAATGGTATGATGCAACTTTGGTAACTTTATTAACTGCAGGTCCATCAACACCACCTCTGAGTGTGGACATGTTGAGGGGGGTATGCAGCAGAGAGTAAGTTAGAAATATAGAAACTATTTCTCCAAACCATCACTGATTGTTCCAGATCACTTTTATTCAAGGTCTTTCCCGCAGTGATTTTTCAGAAAGTCAAACCAGCCAGTCTTTACTGCAAGATCCATGTGGTGAAACTGAGAAAAAAAAGTTAAGAAATGCCAATGTCCTGGTTGGATGGACACATTCTTTTTTTTTTTGAACATGGTTGACCTTCAGTAAAAACTTGATGAGATTACTTTCAAGAAAGAATGTATTTCAAACACTCTCAAGGCTTTCCCAAAACAGTTCTGAATCAAATTCAAGCAAAACTACCTAAAATTTTGAAAAGAGACATGTCATAATAACTTTTGACTTAGATGAACACTAGTTACGAAGCCAGGTATGTGCAGACTTCAAGTACAAATTCTCTTCTTCTGATGCTTAAGTTTGCCTACAACAGGTATCAGCTTGAAAATTATTCAAGATTATGTAAGAAGCAAATCACAATTTCAAGTGCCCAGAAACTAACAATTAGGATTAATAAATCAGGATTAATAAATATTCCCATCACTAACACAAATAGTCTGGAAACAAAACAATGTAGTTGGGGTAGGTAAATAACAGCAGGGTCTAAGATTTCTTTTCTTAAAGATACCTATCCCAAAGGTAACAAGAATCCATGGTTTCTAAAGCATTTAGGAAAATGCCTTGTGCATGGCAGTTCAATAAATGGTGGCAGTCATTCTTTAAAAAAACGAAACAACCCCCTCCCCAAACTCTGTTGATTTCTTCATCATCTTTATAGTCCATTATTGCACTCATGGCTGAAATAGAACCCAGTGGCCCTAACCTGAAAACAAAGTGCTTCAGGAAGAGTTGTTCTGGACAGCCAATGGCAATAATTTAGCCCATCAGAATGAAAATTTAAGGCTTATTCAGTTATTTACAAATAACAATCAAATTAGTGCAACTTTTATTAATGACGTTGGATCACAATTTTGAAGATTAATTATTTCCTGTCACCCTGTACACCTAATCAACTCTGTTTGCAGTGTATGGATTCTGAGGCAATATTGACCACCCGAAGGTCTTCTGGCTCCTTTAACGGGGTCCTAAAACTCTCTTTTCATCAAATGAGAGGGCTGTTAATTTTAATAGAAAAGCTCACACAATTAAAAAAAATGAGGATTCCAATAAGAAAAAACTCATTAAAGACAAGAAGATAAAAGACAATGACAACATATGAGGGGAACATGTTGGGAGTCAATAATAACCAAAGGAACAAAAGGATCAGGGACCACTGCAGAGAAATTCCGTCTCTGAAGCTCACCCAGCACCAAACAGGTCGGGGTGCTCCCGGCGGGTGAGGACCCGCCGCCCCCTGCTCTCCAGGGGTGGGGGCGTCGCAGGGTAAACGCTAGCGAGGGGTCTTGCACCGATCAGGCAGCATCAATTCCCCCCACTCACTTTTCTGACTCTGCATTTAACAAACATGCCGTGAGAGGCTACAGCATACCAGACACGCACGCTAGGCTCTGGGTTCGCAGGCTGGAAGGTTTTAAGGCTCTCAGTAACTTCCGAATATCGGAAGGCTTTTTTGCCTCGCGCATGTTTAAATGGGCAGAACGACGACCGAGGTAACTGAAGGCCCTAACAGCCGGGCGCGGCTGCTCCCGGGGGGCTGGGGAGGACCCCGGGTCCAGCACACCCACCGACTGGGAGTGAGTCCCAGATAGGTAGGGTGGCCGAGGTCCCTGGGCCCAACCTCGGGGACTGAGTCATTCCCAAGCCAGCGCTGCCGGAAACGCGCCCTGCGCCGCAGGAGGAGGAGTCCCGTGGGCGCGGCCCGGACCTCACTTCCTCGAGGGCACCTGGGGCCCTTCTGGCCTGCGGGCCGGGCCCGCCACGAGGGTCTCCGGCCCGGACCCACCCCTTTTGTGCGGACACAGTACCCGTCACCTTCGGGGCTGGGCTGTGACGGAGGCGGCCGGGGATCTCCGGCCTAGACCCGCTCCCGAGGGGCTCACCCCACCCCGTGTGGGTGGATCGCGTCGCCCAGGGAGAGGGAGTGGCGACCAGTGACCCCGTGCCTTCTGCAAGGAGCCCTTCATCTCCCCGCCTGGGCCCGGGTGCGGACACAGAGGGTGGCCAAGGGCGGACCCTCCATCCCCCATATCCGAATCGGGGTTACGGGGACAGGAGGGTGCAGGAGACGCAGTGTGGGGACCCGGGGCGCTCCCTGCACGCGCGCATCTCCCGAGCGCACAGGGCGCGGGCAGCGCCGGGCACCCCAGCTCCGCTCTGCAGGGCACGGTCGTCCCTCTGCTCCCCTCCCCCAGAGCACGCTCGCCCGTCTCCGGCGCGCCCAGGCCCCGGCTTCCCTCAATCCCAGGCCGAGACGCCGCGTCCCCTTCCCCCGGGGACGAGGAGGGGAGGCCTCCCCACTTCCCGCCCTCCGCCTTCCCCGGCCACGGAGCCTGCGCGCTGCGCCCCGGCCTTCCCCGGGAGCGCGTACCTTGCTCTCGATCTGCTTCACCATCTTCACTGTGGGGGGCTCACGAGAGACGGTAAGAACCGATGGACACGGATGCGAGGCGCCGGACGGAGTTTGGGGGAGAGCGCGTAGCCCGCCTTCCCTTTATAGCGGCGCGGCGCGGCGGGGCGGGGCGAAGCGGGCGGGCGGCGTGCGGCGCGCGCGCGTGCGTGTGGCGGGGCGCGCCCGCTCGGCTCCGCGCCGCCCAGTAGTCCGCCCCGCCCCCGGCTGCCGAGCCGGAAGGGGCGGGGCGCTGGCGGGGCCGGCGCTGGCCGGGCGGGCGCTGGCGGGGGCGGGGCTGGCGCAAGCGCCCGGCGGAGCCCAGGGCCCGGTGCCCTCAGCCCTGAATCGCAGGGCGCCCCCTGCCGGTACCCCAGGTGGAAGTGGTGATGAGTGACCTAAAAGGCACATTCGCGGGCGGGGAGGCAGGGAGGCGGATTGCCACCCCCAGAGCCACAGGGCCACGGAGCCCTTCCCGGGCCACCAGGGAATGCGTCAGCCGGGCCTTAACCGAATGCGCCCACGGACAGTCCTGGCACCGCCCAAGCAGGGCTGCTGGATTCCTCGAAACGGCCCGCCACGCCCCGGCCCCCAGCGTCTTGAACCCCACAAAATGCTGAGTAACGGTGACCAGGAAGTGTCTCGGTGTGTGCGCCCTCGCCTCCTTTCCCGAATGTATCGCGGCGGTTCTCTGCTCTTTCCCCTCCGTCCTGTCCTTTCACTTTCACCGGCGAACCCAGTGCGCCCGTGTGACAAAGCAGTCTAGTGCGGTGGAGACGCCCAGTGGACTGGCTGGGCTCTTGGCGGGCAGACGGTGGCGCGTGAGATGTCAGTGCCGCCAGGGTGAGCTCTGCGGAGCCCTGCAGCCTAGTCACGCAGGTCCTGACCTCCCGGGTCTCAGTTTTCCCTTTGGTAAAAGAGGAATCTTGATGGTCTCTGTCTCGTGGTGGTGGTGTTTTGAGGATCGAAGTGCTTAGGACAGTGCTTGGCATACAGTAGCTGTCGTGAGTACTAATTAGGCTTGCTTGGTGTCTTTTGGGGCCTGGCAGTATTTGCAGTGGCACCGGGGCACACATTTGGGTGAGTTTTTTTCTACCAGAGGCAGACTCCTGGAACAGGGAAGACGGAGTTAGTGTTGATCCAGGCATGCATGTTGCAGGTTGAGTCTGGCAGGACTGGGATTGTGGAAGGTATGTTAGCTGGCATTGTGGAGCTGGGAGGGCCTGTCAGCAGCTGGAAGTGGAGGTGAAGAAGCTGTTGAGCTGGAGAGAGGAATGAGCCAGAAGGTTGGGAAGAAGGGTCCCATGTCAGCATTTTCAGAGCTGAACGGTTCTCAATGAATACATCTCTGTGTGATTGGTGAGGGGTGGTGAAACTGCTGCCTGGCTTCCCCTAGTCCCCCTGGCTTCCTTCTTCCTGCTCTTTCAAACAGAGAGGAAGGGAGAAAAACCAGAGGTTTCTAACCTGTTGTTTAGGTTTTGAACCTAAAGTTTCTACAGGGCTGAGGAGCACAGGTCATGGATAAGGATATAGACAAGGGACATGTTCTAAGGACAGCCCTAGACCCAGGGAGGATGGACTACCTGCTTTGAATGCAGCAACCTTCCCCAAGAGAGGAAGGATACTGGGGCAGAGAGGGGCCTCATGGAGCACCAGAGAAGAATCTACAACCTGATTTTTCTGCTGCTGGGTCTTCAGTCCCACTGCAGCCCAGCTTCCTGGCTTATGTGTGTGTTGGTGAATTTGCTTGGGAAATGACAGCAGGTCATTGAGTTATAGGAAGGGCAGTGCATGCCATCCTCAGCTGACTTCTTCTGTCCAAGGACTTTCCAAATGGCCAGTGACTTGAGGGGGTACAAACTCTCTCCCACCTCCTCAGGACCAATACAGAATAGATGTGGAGGCTGGTACAATTATAAGGAACTGGGAGGCCAGAGTATGGGTTAAGAGTCTGGACACTGTAATTAGACTCCCCAGTCCTCATCCCCACTCTACCACTTCAAAGCTGGGCAACTCTGGGTAAGTCTACATAGCTTTTCTGTGCCTCAGTTTCCTCATCTGTGAAATGGGGATAATAATAGCTTTTGCTATTATAAGGGTTAAGTGAGCTAAAATATATGTAAAATGCTTAGAATCTTGCCTCGTGCGTAGTGAATGTTGCTTGAACTATGATCACAGGCTATTAAATGGAATGGTGAAATCTAAGGTGGAAGGAGAGACTGTAAAACAGGTGTCAGTCTTAAGTGGATTAAGTAATCAAGACAGTAGTATAAACAGTGAGCTCTATAACAAAGTCTCCAAGGAAAAGGGCTTTTTCTCCCACAAAGGATAGAAAATAAGTGGGCTGAACCGGTCCTAAGGAGCAAGGTCCCCTACCTACAGGGACATGAGAAACTGAGCCCTTAGGATTTCATTTGTGTCAAGGTGGTGACATTGTATGAGGGGTTCAGGAAATGTAGGGGCAACAGGAGGAGAGAGAGGGTGATGGAAACGCTTACATTTGGAGGGTTGGCTCTGTGTATTAGTCAGAACTCTCACTTGCAAGGAGAAATTCTGGATCAAAATGACTTAGACCAAAAAGAGAATTAGTAATTCATATTACCAGGAACTCTAGGGGCCTGAAGCTGTCACAAAAGGACCAACTCTATTGTTTCATTCTTAGGCAGGCTGTCTACTCTATGTAAGACTGGCCCAGGCAGCGCCAGCCTTAGGCCCCTACTAGTTTAGGATCTCTGCAAAAGAGCATCCCTCTTCTTTGTTCTAGCAAATGCCCCAGAGGCTGGCCTTCATTTACTTAGGGTGTAGGGGAGGGATTAATTTTGCTTAAACCCTTGGGCTATGTGTAGGGAAAATCCAGGGGGTTACCAGCTAAAGGGGAGATGGATGCTGGACCAGCAAAAATGATATTTTCACATCATCAAGAAGAACAGAAATGAGTAGCATGTGCGATGAGTTTGCTTCGGGCTTCTGGGTCAGCTCAGTCTAAGGCTCCATGTGGAACTAGGTCAGCTGTCTTTGTTTGGGTTACAAACTGGATTTGAAGAAAATGCAGCTGTAGGACTCCTGAAAGAAGTTCTTATTGGATCCCAGATTTCTCTGAATATGGTTCTTGGCCACCTAATACAATATAGCTGGGCGTTCTCGTGATACTGCAGATTCCTGGACCACGCCCAGGCAGACATATAGAATCACCATCTTTTGAGGTAGAGCCTTGAAATCTGCAATTTTTTACAAAAGCATCCCAGGTGATTAGGTACACTAAGATTTGATAAACTTTGCCATGGGCTTTTCAGAGGGAGGCCAGCATTAGTTAAGCTTGAAGACTGCATCTAGCAAGAGAGTTGAGATGAAGACACAAAAGAGTACATGGTAAGTGACACAAATTATGGAGGTCAAAGTACTATGATAAAGAAAGTGGTAGAAGGAAAAGGAACAAATAAACATGTGTGCCAGGGCCAGAAGTGGGTGTGTCTTATCGTTTCTCTCAACTTTTCTTAGGAGATAGATATTATTCTCCCCATTTTACAGGTAAGGAAATAGAGGTTCAAAGAGGTCACCTAGTTACATCAGCTGCTCTCTGTTCACAAAGGGAAGTGCCAGCACAGTTTTCAAACCCATCCACATATCTCGAATACCCCTCATTTCATCAGTGAAAAATATCTAACATCCCTTATGCTAATTTGCAAATGCTACAGATTACAGTACTTCAAATGTTAACTATTTAGATTTTTTAAAAACTAATTTATGCATAAATACATATCTCACTTTCAATGCTAAGTATTTAACGTAAATTTCAGAAAATATAGTAACCCCTGTGAATACCCTACCTGCGCACCAGTGCTCCCTGTAGCCCCTAATCTGGCCCAGTGGTCCCTCCTTGCCCCCTTGAACCCTTTCACTCTGTACCCTGGAACCACCTGGATTCAGCAAGCACAGCTATATTCTTAGACGTTTGAGATTTTTGCTCTTCTGAGTGTCTGTCAACATGGCATACAATGCTTCATATTGTATGTGAGGGCCATGAGGTCAGGCAAGTGGTTCCCATTGCTATCTCCAGATTCTTTCTCCTTCAAAAATCCCATGGATTTTTTGGAAAACATTTCTTTTTTTTGAAAAAAAGAAACTTGACCCTTACAACATGTAACAAAATTACTCAAAATTTACTGTGCAACTCCTAGAAGAAGATATTGGAGATAATCTTTGCAACCTTGGGGTAGGCAAATATTTCTTAGGTTACAGAAATCACTAACTATTGAACCACACAAAAAAGCATATAAGGTGATGCATATGCTAATTAACTTAATTTAGCCATTCCACAATGTGTACATATATTGAAACATACTGTACACCATCAATATATCCATTTTTTATTTTTAAATAAGAATTTATAAAAGAAAATAAAAACAAACAGGAGATGAAGCCAGCAGTCTTGCAGAGCTGTAAAGAGATAGATACATGCTCCAGTAGGTGGCTTTTACTATTAAACTGTCATCTAAATAAAATAAAATAAACTATTAAAGCTGAAAAAAGACATTGTTTAAAAATAAATGAAAAGGCAAATCACAGACTGCGAGAAAGTATGCTCAATACATAGATCTAACATAGGATTTATATCTAGAATGTATAAAGAACTCTTACAACTCAGTAAGGAGACAAGAAACCGGTAAAAACAAGGCAATAGATTTGAACATACATTTCTTAAAAGAAGATGTGTAAATGACCAATAAATATGTGAATAGATGCTCAACATCTTTAGTCATCAGAGAAATTCTAATTAATACAGAAGATCTTAAGGAACCCAAAACTACTAGAACTAATAAACAAGTTCAGCAAAGATGCAGGATAAAAACCCAATATACAAAGTTCAAAAGGGTGAATTACTTTGGTATAAATTAATAAAAGAAGCACAAGACTTGTATAGTGGAAACTACAAAACCTCATTGAAAGAAATTAAAGAGTTAAATGGAAAGACATTCCATGTTTATGGATTAGAAGGCAATATGGTTAATACTCCCCAATTGACCTAGAGATTCAACACAATCCCTATCAAAATCCCAGGTGTTTTTTTGTTGAAATTTACAAGTTGATTCTAAAATTTATATGGAAATGTAAGAAACACAGAATAACCAAAACAATCTTGAAAATGAAGTGAAGGACTTATACTTCCTGATTTCAACACTAGACACAAAACTACAGTTACCAAAACAGTGTAATACTAATGTACAAGTGTTATGTATCCATAAAAATAAAAATAACCCCCCAAAACAGTATGGCACTAGCATAAAGATAGACATATAGAGCAATAGAATAGAATTGAAGGTCCAGAAATAAATGGATACATCTATTGTCAATTGACCCTATCAAAGGTGTAAGACTATTCAATGGGGAAAGGATAGTGTCTTCAACAAATGGTGCTGAGACAACTATGTATAGATACAAAAGAATGAAGTTGGGCTCTACCTCATACCATTTACAAAAATGGACGCAGAATGGATCAAAGACCTAAATCAACGAAACTCTTAGAAGGAAACATACTTGTAAATTTTTGTAACCTTGGACTAGGAAATAATTTCTCAGATATGACACCAAAATAACAAGTACATAAAAATAGATAAGTTGGACTTCATCAAAATAAAAGAAATTATGCTTAAAATGAGGGTGAAAAGACAACCCACAGAGTGAGAGAATATATCTATAAATCATATATCTAATAAGAGACTTGCCTAGAAAACATAAAGAACTCCTACAACTCAACAATGAAAAGATAACCCATTTTAAAAATGGGCAAAAGATTCAAGTGGACATTTCTCCAAAGAAGATATATTAATACAAATGCCTAATAAGCACATGCAAATGTAATCAACATCATTAACCACAGGGGAATGCAAACCACAACTACAATGAGCTACTACTTTACACCCACTAAGGTGACTATAATAAAAAAGACAATAAAGTGTTGATGAAGATGTGGAGAAATTGAAACCCTCATAAATTGCTAATGGGAATGAAAAGTGGGGTAGCTACTATGAAAAGCAGTTTGATAGTTTCTCAATAATTGAAAACTAGTTACCATATTATTTAGAAATTCTATTCCTAGGTGCATACCAAACAAAGTTAAACACAAGTACATACAAAAACTTGCATATGAATGTTCATAGCAGCATTATTGTTAATAGCCAAAATATAGAAACAATCCAAATGTCCATTAACTGATGGATGGATAACAAAAGATAGTATATCCTATGCTGGAATGTTATTCAGCAATAAAGTGGAATGAATGATACATTTTACCACATGGATAAACCTGGAAAACATTACCCTAAGTGAAAAAAACAGACAGAAAAGGCCACATTCCATTTATATGAAATGTCCAGAATAGGCAAATCTACAGAATCAGTAAGTACATTAGTGGTTTCCAAAAAAGGGGAAGGGAGAATGGGTAGTGACTACTAATGAATATTGTAGGAGTTTCTTATTGAGGTCTTTAAAATATTCTAGAATTAGATAGTAGTGATGGTTACATAACTTTGGGAATATACTAAACATTACTGAACTGTAAAAAAAGGGATAAGGATATTTATTCTGCCTCCACCAATTAATCTAATGTATATAAATATGCTTTGCAAATTGTAAATAAAAAAAGAAAAGAAAAAGGAAGAAAAAGAGAAAAAGAAAGAAAGAAAAAAGCTAAAGAAAGAAATAAAAAGAAAGAAGGGGGGAGAAGGAAGGAAAGAAAGAAAAAGAAAAAAAGATAGATTGTGCCTGTAGAAGCCAGGTGAGTTCAGTTCTGTAATCATGCTTTGGAAACCTTATCTTTCCTAAGGGCATGAGTGAATACCACAAGAATATCTTTGCCTAATACCATTAACATCTGGCATAAGGCCAAGAGACAGTTTGGCTCTTATGGGAGGAAAATTTGTTTATCTATATCCACTAACCAGGAAATGTATATTTTTTATTATCTGCTCCTTACCTACATGGGTGTTGGCGTTCCAAAGAATTCAGTGACACCCTATTAACAATCCAACTATGCATAATTATTCTTATGAACAGCTGAGCTTTAAGGAAAAGAGACTGATCCCATGAAAAGAGTTTTGTATGACTAGATCTTTTAGATGTTAAAGGTGTAAAAGTTTAATTGAAATGTATAGCCGTGCAGGATGTCTAATCCTGGAATCATCTAGACATCACTTGATTACAAAGAAGTTCATTAAATGCTCCAGCCATGCTGTTGCATGGCCGCAGTGGGCCATTCATGCCGGGGCATTCAAAATTCTGCTTGATGTTGTCAACTTTGAGGGAACAGTCAAGGTGACACAAGCCAAGATGTAACAGATTATCACTGAATTTTTATCCAGTGAACTTTTGTTTATCGTTGTAAATTGGCAAGTTCATGAGGCCTATGTTCTATCATAACCCTCCTCCTAGGGAAATTGGATCAGTGCTTGAATATGAATCTTTATCAGCAAAGAGAAATAGAAAAGATAACACAATTTAAAAATATATCATAAGTAACTTTTGCTGGATATGAGGTCATCTTTGTTTTGCTGATAAAGGATATTTTTATTCCAATAAAGTATTCGGAGACCTTGACTTGTTGAAAGATGTTATAAGTTTATTAAGTTAACAATGGTGTTTCTGAGGGTTTGCGAACTATGGCTTAGAAAGGCTCTCACCAAACAAAAAATTAAAAAATACTTAACAGAAAATACAAAACTTAATGGTAAAAAGAATGAAGAACTTTTGCTTGAATGAAAGTATTCTGGCTAAAATGTCTATATGAAATCTAATATCATTTGAATTAATTGTGGTTAAGCCACCAATTTTGTTTTCTATCATAGCTTTACTTCTATGCTGATCAAAATTGACTATGAATAGTGCATAAGAAGCATAAATGCTTTAAAGATAAAATATTTAAAGTAAGGAGAAAAAAAATCACTTCGGCAATTTTCAATCTTGTTTTAGCTCTGGTTTGCTTGTCTTTTGAGTTTTGAAAAGAGGATGTTTAACTTCAAATTTAAGAACTTTTATATTGATTTAGCTTAAATATTCAATTCTGATAACTTGAAAATGATAAAACCAGGAAATTTAAATTTTTAAATAATCCAGTTTTGCATTTGTTGTAGCTCGTGCTGGACGTTGGCCAGGCTCTTGGGCCTCCTCCACATGGCCTTTCATCTTTCAGTAGATCAGACTGGGCTTCCTTACCTTCAGGTCTTGGGGCGGGGTTTGAAGAGGAAGAGAGCAGAAGCTATGAGGCCTCTTGAGGCCTGAGTCTGTAAGTCCTACACTATCACTTATCCTGTATCTACTGGTCAAAGAAAGTCATAAGACCTGTCCAGCTTCAGGGGATGGGGAAATAGTCTCCACCTCCTATGGAAGAAGTATGAACATTATATTGCAAAGGGGTATAAATATAAGCATGGAACAAATCACTGGGACTGTCTTTGTAAGCAATCTACCCAGTCCTTATTTTCATGGCTCAGGAGACAGCTATAGCCATAACGGCCATGTTGTAAGCATTAGAATGGGGGAAGGGAAAAGGAGGGTATTCCTTTTCTCTTTGGGGATATGTCCCAGAATTTGCACATATCGCATCCCTATCATCGATCGGGACTTAGTTATATGGCCCTATCTCGCTACAAGAGAGGCTGGGAAATGTAATCTTTTTACCAGGTGCCCTGGTGTACTGTAGAAGAGAAGACTTTGGTGGGACAGAAGACTTTTGGTGGGACAAAACCCCGTGGTATCTGCCAGATATAATGCATCAATATATTGTCAACTCCAAAAAATGTTTTCACCTTATCCACATTTCTTAATTTCTGCTTCCACTGCTACTGCCATAAGTCAGATCGCCTTGTCTGTTACCGGGACCACAGCCACACCCCCATCACTTATTTACCTTCTACTATGTTTGTTCTCCTATAATCCATTCTTTACATACCAATATGTATATCTTAGCATGTCATGCCTCTACTTGAAACCCTTCGATGATTTTTTCACTGTCCTTTGAATAAAACTCAAATACTTATCATGGCCACAAGATCACATGTGATCTGGTCTCTGCCTAGTCCACCATCTCATCCCCAGCTCCTTCCCACCTGCACTCATGTGTCTCCAGGCACATTAGACTTCCAGAGTTTCCTCTCTCTGAGCACTTTTCCCCTTAGGGTGCTTTCGAGGAGGTAACTGATCACACTTTGGGCACAGTGGCTCGTGCCTATAATCCCAGCACTCTGGGAGGCTGAGGCAGGAGGATCGCTTGAGGTCAGGAGTTTGAGACCAGCCTGAGCAAGAATGAGACCCCGTCTCTACTAAAAATAGAGGAAAATTAGCTGGGCAACTAAAAATAGAAAAACTTAGCTGGGTGTAGTGGGGAACACCTGTAGTCCCAGCTACTCGGGAGGCTGAGGCAGGAGGATCGCTTGAGCCCAACAGCTTGAGATTGCTGTGAGCTATGATCACACCACTGCACTCTATCTCAAACACCTTCAGCTTCTTTAGTAGGATGGCAGGCTTTGGCTTCACTGTCCTTCTCAGCTTTTCCCAAAGTGTGGGAGCCACACTTTTGTATGAGGATATTAGGCTGTGTGAGAAAAGAAAGATGATGCTGGGGGGGAGAACCCTACCACCATCTATTTTAGTAGCCTACTCATATTAGAAATTCTCAATTGGTATGAGATTCTTGGCTTCACATTTGGCCTCCAGAGCCATCCCAGCAGCTCCAGCTGTGAAGGGATGAAGCAGGAACAATCTAGAGGGGCTGTGACCACCTTATAAGCACCACTCAACCTCAGCAACCTTTTTTTTTTAAATTTTATTTCGGCATATTATGGGGGTACAAATTTTAAGGTTTCAAAAAATGCCCTATCCCTCCCTCCCCCAACAAGTCTGAGTTTCCAGCATGACCATCCCCCAGATGGTGCACATCTCACTCATTGTGTATGTATATACCTGCCCCCTCCCCCCTCCCACCTGCCCAATACCCTATTACTGTAGTACCTATGTGTCCACTTAGGTGCTGCTCAGTTAATACCAGTTACCTTAGCAACCTTTATTGTCACTTAATAAGCCACTGGCCCAAGAGACCCACCATTCCCTGGCAGGTGTGCCAGGTAGCAAATTTCATGGTCAAGAACCAATATGCTTCTTTCATGATCAGGAGAAGACAGAAGGGCAGTGTGTCTGGTCTGTAGCTATTACCATAATTGCATTGTTTCATCACACCACCCGATGACAAGTGGTGAATTAGCATCAGCTCTCATTCCAAAGGGGATTCAAGCTATGAAGACATATTATTCTGGGGAAGTAAGACAATTAATACAGTATAATTTAGGAGTCAAAAATATTAATGATGCTTTTCACACTACAGGTTTTCAATGTCTTCATATTCTTAAACTTAACAATAGTGAGATTATTGTCTATGAGAAGAGTTTAGTTTTATTAGTCAGGATAGGCTAAAGTGGTGTGGGGAACCTGAGGCCTTAAAGCCACATGCACTTCTAGGTCCTTAAGCGTGGCCTTTTGACTTAATCCAAATTTTACAGAATAAATCCTTTTATTTTTAATACATTTTTGTTCATCTTTTACATTTTTATTTTATTTTTAAAATGAATGTATTTAAAATACCAAAGAATAAAATAAGTTCAACGAAATAATCCTCACAGATTGACCAGCACAATTGGAACATTAGTAAGCCATCAGGGATAAATTGACGGCTAGTACACTCGTGATTTAGTTCTAACGTCCCCCATCTGACTGGCAGCACTACTTTGGCGAGAGTTTATGGGGGTCAAGTATGCCAGTCTGTTATCAGCTTTTGACAATGGTGCACTGTGTTTCTGTTTGAAGTAGAATTTGTGAATAGTTGTACAGCTCAATAGTATTTTTTAATTCTGTCTGCTTAACAGCCCATGTATGTCAAAGAAGACCAAGAGAACGTTGAAGGAACAAAACAGATTTTTTAATGGGGATTGGGGATTGCAATATTATCGTGTTTCTACTAAAGATAAGATGATTTGCTTGCTCTGTGATACTGCAATATCAACATTAAAGAAATTCAATGTTCATCAGCATTACAGCACTCATAAGGACCACACATATTTTAAATTAGAGGGAGAGGCATGAAAGGTTGAATTGCAGAAATTAAAAGATGAAAACTGAACGAAAAGACAATTCTTTCAAGCAGCAATAAAACCTGGAAATAATGCCACTGAAGCAACTTATAAAGTAACTTATATACTCAGGGGGGAAAGGGAAGCCATTCAGTGATGTTGAAAATTGTGAAAGAATGCATTGTCAAAGTTGTAGGATGCTTAGACCCTGATAATGTTTCAAATACAAACAGCTGCCTTTTCCAAGGAGAACCATAACTGATCAGCAACATGAGTTAGCCTTCAATTGAACAGAACAACTTCATGAAGCTCTTCATAAAGAAAATATGTATTATTCAATCACTTAGGATGAATCAACTGTTACTACCGACTCCGCACATATATTCTACTTCATTCATGTCATAACAGAAGATTTTCTTTGCTATGAAGAGTTACTCATTTTGGGCACTCTTGAAAACAGAACACAGTGAATAGATATCTTCAACAAATTTCAAGATAAATATCATGAAGTCAGATTGAATTTGGTAAATTTAGTAAGTGTATGTACAAATGGTGCACCTTCTGTGACAGGAAAACATGAAGGGTTTATTGCACAGAAAAATAAGTATTAACAGATCCAGGTGCTCTCATTTCTTTCCTTTGTATCTTGCATCAGCAAAATCTCTGTGCTAAAGCTACTATTTTAAGTGACACTTTGCAACAAGTTATAAGTATTGTTAACTATATTGGTACAAATGCAACATGGTATGGTCAGTTTCATAACATGCTAAAGTTGAAAGATGAGGTATTCGGTGTGGGTTTGTGGTATCATTCTAAAGTGTGTTGGCTATTGCAGGGACAGATGCTAGCCAAAATTTTATCTCTCTGAGAACGGATAGTTAAATTTTATGAAGAGCTGAATCAGTAATGTGGATTATTGAAAGAAGATTTCTATAGGAATATAGCATTTCTGAGTGATAGTATGTAAAATCAAAACAATTTGAATTTTTTTTTTTGCAATGTAAGACTAAGTCTAAATATGATATATGGCAAAAAAAATCCAACCATTTTGAATAAAGCTATATTTTTTGAAAACACTTCTTTAAAAGGAAATTTTGGGTGAAGATTTTCCCCAGTTAGCAAAGGTCACTGATGATATATGTGACTCATTTGAATAATATACAGCTGTTATAGACCTACTAATTGGAGAATAAAATGAAAGGTTGACTGACTTTGAGAATCATGATTTCACACTCAAATTAGCATTTCAGCCTCACCTACTTGATATCACCTAGGCATCTAAAGAACTACAGATGCAATTTACTGAGCTCTCAGTAGATGACATTTTAAAGTCATTGTTTGATGCTAAGAAATATCCAACTGAAATATGGGAAAATGTAGTAGAATACCCACACCTTTGGCAACATGTCCAAAAAATGCTTTCTTGCTTTTCCACCACTTATTGCTGTGAATCTACATTCTCCTACCTAACCCAAATCAAGACGTCCTTAAGGTCACAAATGACTGATACCCATCTAGAGGATCAACTGAAGCTGCAGACTTCCATGCTGCAACCAAATATTCAAATAGTTTCCAACAAAAAGCAGATACAACAAAGTCATTAAAAGGTTAGCTAACTTTAAGATTAACGAATAATTTTCATTTTTTGAAGTTATTAGATACTTAGCTAGATTTTTACAAAACAATATACATTTTTAAGTATATCTAATTGAAGTTTCTTGAATGTGGCCTTATTTGATTATAGCTAAATTAATGCAGCCTTCCAACATGAAAAGGTTCCCCATCCCTGGGCTAAAGGAAAACAAAAGATCTAGTAAGGGAAAGGTTTGTCTATGCCAGAATTTTGTGACCCATATATTTCAAGTCATTTAACATTCCAAAATTGTTTTCATTTTACACTTAGCCTAGTTGAAGCAGGAAGCATTGCATGAATTTCCTTCAAACACTGACAAAACAGAAACTTGCGAAAACTCTATTCTGCTATGGCCCGGACTTTAGAAGGTAGTATCATGCTACTTCTGCTTTAAAATAAAAATATTATTTTTCCCCTTTGTGTTTCATAGTGGTCTGAATGCTAGAAGAAAGATTCAAATTTTTGTAGTCGATGTTGAGGTTTGTATGACCAGGGTTCGTAGTTGCAAGCAACCGAAGCTTACATTGTATGATTTATTCTCACAAAATTTCTGATAACGATGTAGAACTAAACTTGGAAATTGAACAGAAGAAAGGGAGATAATTAGCATGGAAGGCAAGTCACAAACCCAATCTGGTGAAGATTCTCCTGCCTTCACCACTAAACACTCTGGTGCCACCAGAAACTGGATGCCATTGGATTAGGGTAAAATAAAATACAGGATGCTTAGTTATGGTGGAATTTCAAATGAATGAATAATTTTTTAGTATAAATATGCTCCATACAATTTTTGGGGCATTCTTATCCCAAAAAATTATACTAAAAATTGTTGTTTATCTGAAATTCAAATTTAACTGGATCTCCTGTGTTTTCATGTTAAATCTGGAAAGTCTACACTGGATGTCCCATTGCTACTGCCACTGCTGTCTTTGGAAACTAGCTACCACCTGCCAATCAAATGGATTTTCCAGGTGTTTCCTGGCTCTTTCTTTCCATCATAGGTTTCATAAAGAACCTGAGTGAGAGAGGAGTGTGCAATTGCTGGAACTTCTGTTACAAGCCCCTGCTCTAGCTGCAAAGTTGGTCAGAAAGCTCATGGTGTCTTCAGCATTGTTTGTGGGAAGTGGTCTCACTCTTCCACTAAATCTTAAATTTCTCAGGCATAGAGGTGGACACTAGAGAAGTTCAGATGTTGGGATGGGGAAGACAGGAAGCCAATGTCTATCCTATTTTTTTTAACACACATTTCTTCTCTTTTTTATTATCTAGTGGCCCGTGAGTTGAAGGCTAGGCATGATTAATATAATTCTTTTTCCCAGTGACTGGTTTAAGAACTCAGATCTAAGCCAGTTACCAGATGGCATCACTTTGGCCACTGGGTTAATTCAAGATTGGGCACGTGACCCAGTCTGGGCCAATGAGAGATGAGAGGAAAGTTTGCTGGAGGATTCTAGGGAAAGTTACCTTATTCCTGATACCTGAATTAAGTAATGATCTCATCTTCCTCCAGATATTGTTTTGTGTACTGGTGAGGCCTGGAAATTCTGCAGCCATCTTGCTACCAGCCTGAGATGAAGAACACGGAGAGAAAACAAGGGCAGAAAGTATTATGGTAATTGCTGAGAAGTGGAACTGGGACCACTGGATTAAGTTCCTGGAAGCTTGTCCTACATCTGGACATCCAGTTATGTGCACCAATTCATTTTCATTCGGCTTAGCAACTTCAAGTTGGGTGTTCTGGTATTTGCAGCCAAAAACAACTGAACTGAAAAAAGGATTCATGACTGCGTGAAGCACTTTTGTAAGCTTATCATTTGCTGAATTCTGAAAGTTTAGCATAATGTTGTTTTGATTGAACCAGAAATTATTGCTGTTATGAAACTGTGAGGCAAAGATTAGTATTTAAATGAATGCAACACAAACAACTAGAAATCTGCTTCATTAGGCCATAGAAAGCAGTTTATGATGATTGCCAGATTCTTGCTCTTTTTGCATGAATGCCCCAGGATGAGACAGCTTCTCAGTGAGTACCCTCTACAGAGAGAAACATATTTTGGTTTCTGGAAAGACCTACAGTGCAAACATAAACAGGATTTTAAAAACATTACCCTCCCTCCTTCTTTCTTCATATGGTGGACAGCTGCTACTTTGGCCTGCCCGCAACCTTCCCCACTTCTTTGGCAATAGCATCAGGATCTCCCTGTATGTAACTCTCTCTCCTCCATGCCTGTCATCCATGCCTGTTGGGACCAGTCATGTAGGTACCACATCTGTTCCCTATCATTAGTCCCAAAGGTGAGCATGTGATTTCAGGCCAATTGCACTCTCTCACAAGAATGCAGATCTCTAGGGAAGTGATACAAGAGAGAAAGTTTTCTTGGAGTCATTACCAAAGGAACTCTTCATGGGTCCCTGCTCTTGAAATTCCTAGAAATGCCTGGTTCCTGTCCTCTCTGAGGCTTGATTCAAGCCCCTACTCCCACCCCAGCCCACACAATGACTTTGCTTAAGGTAGTCAGTGTGAGTTTCTATTCCACACCACAAAAACCTCAGCCAATGCTCTCTACCAGAACAATCCTTGAACAAAACAAGCTTTATGTAGGAGTTATGTTTTCTGTTTTCAGTAGGCACGTGTGACTATAAGCCTGATATCAACCTGTTCATGGTTGATATCATGCCCAAACTATCGTATAATCAATTATTACCCAATGTTTATTGGGAGCTAATGTGTATTTTGTTTTTTATTTAACACTTATATAGCACTTAGTGTGTGCAAGGCATTGCTTATTTGTCTAAGCCTCATTTCAATACAGTGATGTCAGTACTATAATTATTCTCATTTTATGATTTCGAAACTGAAGCACAGAAAGGTTAAGTAGCATGCTCAGGGTCACACAGCTAGTAAATGATGGAGCTATGATTCAAACTGTGACAGTTTAACTCCAATCTGTGCTTTTATCCCCTGTCCAAAACTGGCATCATCAGAAGGCTGACTCTTAAAATATAAAATCAGTGTCTAATGAATAAGATTAGATTTATGGAAAAACATCTTCATGATAAAATGTCTTCCAGGCCAGAAGCAAGAAAGGTAAACAGAGGTGTCTGAAGCCTTTGGCTTCCAACGTTCAATTTTTGAGCCAACTGAAAACTGCTGAAGAGTTCCAGGGGAATAATATCCTCATCTAATTAGTTAGCAAGCATGAACTAAGCCCAAACACCTGCCACTGTTTTTCTTTCACTGTTGCCAGGTGATCTGTGAGCAGCCTCAGATCAATAAGTAATTATAATTGGCACTGAATATAATTAATTATGTAATTTAAACTTTGTAAGTTTATTTCCATTAAAACTGCCCCATAAAACTGGAATATTTTAAAGGCGGCTGTCATGGCAAAGGGGAGAGATTAGAAGATTAAAGGCTTTTTCACATTTGACTCAGCCACGTCCTCCACTGTGTGAATTCTCTCAACCCACTGTCATAAGCTCTAATAAATATCTATGGGACTATTCACTCATTTGTTCAACTACATGGATCAAGTACCTACTACTGTTCTGGGCACCGAGGATATGGCAGTGAACATGCAGGTGAAAGTCTCTGCCTTCATGGTGCTGATATTCTAGTAGGAAGTTGCAGTTCCAGCACTGGGCAATTGAAAAGCTTGAATTGCTCTAGGCTCGGGATTGTTTCCATTACTATAGAGAATGAAAGAACGAATTCACCTGAGGGCCATGCTGAGTCTCTGGGGGAGACATCAGTTGGTCTGGGCTTTCCAAAGACTCTCAAGGAGAGGATACTGTGGCCAAAGACTGCCAGGCAGATGTCACGGTATCTGCATGGAGATAATGATGATTTGTTATCGAGTGTTTAAGGTTTCATATGAACAGATTGTGCACTTCGTGTACTCTAATGTACTTAATTCTCACAAGCTATGATCTACTGTATTTCATAAATTTGCCAGCCAACCCATTTGCACATCTTCTCTGAAATTGATGTGCATCCTATAAGCCATGGCCTCTTACTGTGGTCAGCAGGATGGAGGTGGTAAGGGGGATATTGCCTGACAATGTTGCACTTGGTCATAGCTGTTCATATTTTTAGCATTTCAGTTGAATTATGAACATTTTCGATACTGTGTGTTTTAGGTTATCTGTTGTTTATAATGTCTTCCTGGTTCTTGTCTGAAACCTTCTGTTGATACCTGCTGGTTAGATCATCTCACAGAATGGGTCAATGGCATGGATAAAATCTCCTAGATGGGGCCAGGAGGTGGATGGGGCATGCATAGTGGAGCACTTCTCTAGGGAATGCAGCTTCACCAATCCTATTGATGGAACAGTGGGTGGTTTTGTATGGGAAAAATCTAAGCAAGGATTATGTCCTAATTTGATGTTTTTCTTTTTTTTAAATGGTACATGGTGTGTATCATAATCAAAAGCATCTTAGATTCAATGAAATAGAGTTATTTTCCCCATTTTACAGATGAGGAACTGAGGCATAACAATGTGAATTAATTTGCCCAAAACTCCACAGCTAGAAATGACAGAGCCAGGACTTAATCCTGAATGGTTCTGTACTATAATGCCTCTCAGTATAGATGCCGCTGGTTGAGGGAGGTTATTGAAGCCTGATTTACTTATTCAATTAATAAGTATTAAGTGCCTAATATGGGCTAGATATTGGTATATATTTGGGGACAGGTACCGTGGTGAACAAAAACTTGCAACTATCCTTGTGGAGTGTATAGCTTAATAAGAAAATAAGTCTTAATCAAATAACAACGGGAATAAATGTAAAGTTGCATCTCTGAAATAAGAGGCAGGAGAGCTATACAGTGCTGTGAAAATGTAAAATGAGAGGCCGGCCTCGGTGGCTCACGCCTGTAATCCTAGCTCTCTGGGAGGCCGAGGCGGGCGGATTGCTCGGGGTCAGGAGTTCAAAACCAGCCTGAGCAAGAGCGAGACCCCGTCTCTACTATAAATAGAAAGAAATTAATTGGCCAACTAATATATATAGAAAAAATTAGCCGGGCATGGTGGCACATGCCTGTAGTCCTAGCCACTTGGGAGGCTGAGGTAGAAGGATTGCTTGAGCCCAGGAGATTGAGGTTGCTGTGAGCTAGGTTAACGCCATGGCACTCACTCTAGCCTAGGCAACAAAGCGAGACTCTGTCTCAAAAAAAAAAAAATGTAAAATGAGGGGCCCTTCTATAATCTGGGAAATCAGGGAAGTCTTCCTGGAAGAAGAGTCCTTTGAGCTAAAGGTAAATAGACAAAGAGGGTGTAGGGAGAAGCATCCCAGAAAGAGGAAATAACATGTGAAAAAAGCCCTGTGGTGGGAAAGAACTTAGCACTTTTCCAAATTGGAAAGAAGCCAGTGACATGTCTGTTTGAGTGTGTGTGTGTGTGTGTGTGTGTGTGTGTGTGTGTGTGTGTGTGTGTAGGCAGGGGCTCAGAGGGTTATGAGATGAAGGTAGAGAGGTAGACAGAGGTAAGATCACATATGGCCCTGTAGCCATGTCAAAGATTTTGTCTTCATCCTGAAAGCAATGAAGGACTTTCATACCCCCAAATCAGTCATTGACTAGGGGCTGCCTTTGGAAGGGTCATGACCTTTGGGGAAAAGCACTACCATCAGCCAAGGGTTATTCTTAAAAGAAGGGGGTCATCTGGGAGCCATTAGCAGCCAATAGCCACAGCAGCTAGTTGTTGGGGTCCTCCACTTGGTATAGGGGGTCTGGGGACATTTATAGCCCTTGCTGCAGGAACTTTGCTCAGCTTCATGGTTCATAAGTGTCCACAAAAACCAGGCGCTCTGAAAAAGACTAATCATTCCTCATGCTGAGACCAAGAGAAATGTGTCCTGTTGTGGTGTGATTTGCAATGTCCTCAATAATATCCGTAGAGTCAGTCACTGAGCGTCCTAGGACTGTTTCTTCTAGCTCTCCTGAGGACAGAGCAATCAGATGCTCTGAGAAGGCACAACTTCCCCAGGCACGGAGCTATTCTGATCTCCGTGTGACAGTTTGGCTCCTGAAGGAATCCACCAAGTCCTCACATCCAGGGCTGGGGGTAGCCAGAGGTGAAATCGTAAAGTAAGTGAGAGCATCTTTTCTGTCCCTGCCTCACCTTTCCGGAATCTTGCCCACCCTCTTAGCATCCTTTTCTCTACCCACTTCACCACTACCCTTCCTCTACCTGGTCTCCCACTTTCAGCTATTTTGAGGATGTTTCTTTCTTTATTTTTCTGAAGGAACCTACCTTAAAAAGAAAAGTGTCAGGGATTTCATGGGGTACATCTGGGAATATTTGCATTTTAAAAGCCACTGGGAGAGGACAGTATTTACCATTAGCAAATGAATAGTTATTTGTGTAATTTAAGGCATCTGGAATCCTTTAAGTCATGTAACATATATATAAGCTCCCCATACAAACTACATATACAAGGTGATCAAATAAGGAAACAGCAGGGAAAAGTTGGGAAGATCTAATTCTGCTCTCTTACTTTGCCAATAGACCAGTCCAGGGCATTACTCTTAGCGAGTCTGTCTTCCTATCCCTCCTGTAGCTTGGTTTTCTTTTCATCAAAGAGAGAGTGGCTGAGTGGATAGCATTCCCAGACCTAATCAAGGACATAAACAAGGACGGAATAATTCTAATATATTCAATTTCCCTACTATGGTCATAACAAGAGTAATAGCAATGACACAACCAACAATTAATGAATGTTTTCAAGCTGTTAATCCCTTGAAATCCCCAAGCCTCATAAAAAGGAAGATGTCAATGGACTTTCTGGTTAATAAAGGCTAAACCCCAACCTTTGGATCCTTCTTAACTACATCAGCTTGAGTACATATTTGAACTGACCTAGAATGAGTGTTAAAATGGTCAGAAAAAATGAATTTGATCAGTATAGTCTCTCATAGGCTTAACATTGGGGAGATTCTGGCTTGATTAAGGGAAAAATTACATTAAAGGTAAAGTAAATTGTCCAAAGCCTCAGAGTTCCAAGAAGAGGTTTTGGGGAAGGGATGACACTGGCAGGTGCCAATAAGAACTTTGCTAGGTTTAAGTTAAGACATTTTATTGTGGAAAAACAAGTGCAATGAGGGCTGCAGTCGAATTAAGCTAGGAACAAATGAAGATTAAAACTGGAGACTCCCATCTTCATGGTGAATGTTCATTTGCCCGAAATAGATGCTCAATCACTCTGAACTCTTTTCTTGAGCAGTTGGTGAGAAGGCCAACCACCCTCTCTATTGAGGTGTGTTCACAGTGTTTTGTGGCTTGATTAGGCACATATGTAGTAGAACATTTAGATGGCAAATTTGGGAAAAGCAGTTTTTATGCCAAAACCATCCTTTGCTATTTTAAGAAGTGCTTACTTCTTTATTTCTCTAGTGTTTCTTATCTACCCAAACTTGGTCTATCAGTGATTTATAAAAGATAGTAGACAGTCTACTAATCATCTACAAAGATTAATTTTTGGTCACACCTTACCCTACTGTGGTTAAATATTATTGTCAGCTTTATGAAAGGCACTAAAACACTAAGCATTTTTTTTAAAACTCTGGTCTTTTTGGATGTCTATAGGATGACTCCTCTTTATTGCACTTTATAGTAGAGGTTGTTTGGCATACAAAAGAAGTAAAAAAAATAAATGAATAAATAAACAAGCAAATAAAGTAGCTAATATGTTCAAAGAGATCATAATCTGGCTGGAAAGGTAGAAATGAAAACACGATCATCCTCATTGCCAACATCATTACTATTCTTGAACACCTGCTATGGGCAGGTACCATACAAAACACTTCATGTACATTATCACACTCAATACTCACAATGACCTTTTGGAGGTGGTCATTATAACCTGGTTTACAGATGATAAAACTGAGCCCCACTGAGGTCTATGGCTTGGCAGTGGCTGAGTCATAACTGCAAACCTACGTCTGCCCAACTTCAGAGCATGTGATTCTTCCATTACTGAATGCTTCCTCCACAGGAAAGCTTTGAAGCCAAATGCAATGATTAATTGCTAACCAGAGTAACAGAGACAGAACTGGTCCCAACCTGGAGTAGATACATTCCTGGCTGCTGCTGCTATCTCTTCTGCCTGGCTTTGGACTGAGTATAAGTTCTCAGCCTCATGTGTGATGCACGTGGGAGCAGATTGTAGACTTGTAAACTGTATAGAAACCATGCAGTGTGCGAGTTGTTATTCTATGTGTTAAAGACAAGATAGAGAATAATGCAGACACATTTTCTCCTTCCTCCAGGATCAATTTATAGATCATGAATGTGTTAGATTTAAGCACATGATCTTTCTGCCTTCTAAACTGCTTTTCTAAGTAGAAATAGAAATGCATTCCTGGTCTTAGTTGAAATCTTATGTGATTTCACAGGTGAATTTGGGTGCAGAGAGAGAGACAGAGAGACAGAGACAGAGACAGAGACAGAGGAGAGCACGCTCAAGCTTTAAGTCCTTGACAAGCCATAAACCAAGTTAGTCATTTTGTTTTCAATGTTACTAATTTTTTTTGAGATTTGTCCCTACTTCTGAGAACACTCATCTTCTGTTTAAGGTGTGGTGGTAACTTCCATTATAAAGTAAATCTATTCATGTACAAACAGTGAATGGATTAAGTAAGTGATAAAGGTGATACGCAGATGACTAAAGTTTAGAAAGTCCATGACTAAGGAATGCTAACACAGGTTGCATTCTTACCTGACGGTAAATTTCCCGGCTGGCCTTTTCTGTGTGGATGGAGAAATTTTCTGGAGAAAATCCCCACCCTCTTTCCTAAGTCATTGCTCCAGGGGTGCAATGACTTCATAGAAATACTGCGCAGTATGTTGCTTCAACTCTCTTTCCTTGGCTGCTCTTCTCTGACCTCTCCTTAGCATCCAGTCTTTTCTTAAAAGCCCTGATGTGCAATAGTAAAATGAATGCCTCCTTTGAAGAGGATGCCTAATGGGAAAATCTTAAATATATGCCTTGAAAAACTTGATTACAAAGAAGATAGGCTTAGGTTGGTTTTTTTCAGAGTGAGCACCCATGACACATGTAAAAAATTATTGGTGGCACACAGATTTGTAGGAACACCCCTGGGAGAGGGGCATGTGCTAGGAAAGGCAATTGCTCTGAAACCCATTGCCTGCATCACAAGGTGCATGGGCCCTGCTATGGCACCAATAAAAGAACTGACCAGCTTTTTATTTGCTTCCAGAGAACCTTTGTCATGTGAGTTTACCATGCCTATGATTTTCTCTAGCACACCTGGGCTCACATTTGGGCTCAACCATTTACTAGCTGCACACACCTTGGATCTTGGACAACCTACTTCATCTCTCTGAACTTCTGTGTCTGTACAGTGAGAACAGGATTACTGATTCCATACGGTTGTGTGAGGATTGAATGAGATACTGTATGTGTGTGTGTGTGTGTGTGTGTGTGTGTGTGTCCCTTTTGGGGAAGGAAAATTTACCAAGTAAATGATGGGTGAATGGAGTTGCAGATATTATAAAGGTAACTTGTGGTGACTTCAACTATATGATGAGAGAGAGAGAGAGAATAATATAACACCTCCCACTCACAACCACACACACACACACACACACACACACACACACAAATACTGGGAACTTGGTGTGCTTATTCAGCTGGGTACCATCTTACTGCACAGACTGATTCCAGTATTTTAAATTAATATTTGTGGAAAAATATGGCCCTAGAAGCAAGCCAGCTACTCTACCTGGTCCCTCCATCAAGGAAATGAAGTGTTTCAGTGCTGCAGAGCAAAAACGACCATGTGACCCTAACTGGGACACAGGACCGATGGATTGGACTTTCTGGAAGATCTTCACTGGGGTTACTTTTTCTTAACCACTGTCTTTAGATCTTAGCCTTGTGTAAGGTGCCAACTCCTTTAAAGACTTGCTAAGCTCTGATAAGAGTTTGTGTAGCTGTTTTTCTGTTTATTTGGGATTTTTAAGCAGTGTTGTTTATCAAAGGGTTGCGGATTATTTTGTCATTACTCTTTTGTCTTAATGGCTCATTGATGTTTTTAATCAATCTTTTGGTGTATTCCACCAGTGGTGCCAAATGCAAGTATGCATGAGAATCTTCCGGGTTTTCCTTGCATGTGCCTCTCCCCTGATTAAGGTGTCAGAAGTGGGATCTGATATGAGCATTTCTAACAAATTCCCAGGTAATGATTATGTTCCTGGTCCCAGCTCCTCATTTTGAAAATTCCTATATTAGGTCATTCATAACAAAGATGAGGTTGCTAATTGCAATGGCCTTCAACTTGACTCACCAGAACGCACAATAAGAAATATATGTTGCATTGTGATTCTAGTATAAACACATATATAACTAAACAAGTTTCATAAAATAATACTATACCCTCAGTAGATGCATTCTGGTATTTTTTGTTTCATTTTAATAAAATGCTGACCCACTAATTGCATATGGTGAACCATTATTGGGTAATGTCCTAGCTGGAAAATACTGTTACTACATGATAAATAAAAATTGCCTTGGTAAAAATGTACAAGTCAGCATTAGACAATAGGCATAAAGTAAGTTACATCTGTTTCTCTTTTCCTATTATAACAGAAAGGCCATTGTAAAAGCATGGACTCTTTATCTACTTTTAGGCAAGTAAAGTCACATCGAGACCTTGGCTGCTGAAAGTGAGATGGAGAAGCCTTTGGTTTCCAGGGAATTCTCTTGGATTCTGACGTATGGATTGCTTTATCGTTAAAATGGAAGGCAGGATTAAAACAACAATGAAGAAAACTGAACACCCGCTTGCTCCAACACGTAGAGAGATGTTTTACATGCTATAGAATGTAAAATGCCTGAGGCTGCTGGAGTGATTCATGTGACAGCTGCCACAACTGGGCGTGGAATTCATTCTCCACCCTGTTCTTCTCCAAGCACATTTCCGAGGCTGCTTTTCCCAGAGGGCCAGAGACTTGTGAGAGTTAACTATGGTTTACAGGTGGTCTTTGACTTTCATTTGTTTAACTGGCATATGCTGAACATTGACATTAATTCTTGGTGCACACAACGTGACCTTTCTAGAGTCACTGCCTGTGTAATGATTTTCCAGCCATCCTCCTACAATGGCCTGTGCTCTGGGATGGGTGGGTCCCCAGCTAGAGTACCAGGCATAGTCACATACCTTTACTGGTGCCAGGCTGGTCTAGGCCCAGGGGCCTTGTTTTGGACCACAGCTCCCTGGACACATTCCTTGCCCTTCAATAGCCTAACTCTCTAGAGCAAGCTAGCTCCTGACTTCCATCCCTAGTATGGAAATCTTGTCTGAGCCAGGTTGGAGCCCGTGTCTAAGCCTCACCCAGGTATCACCTGGGCTTGCTAGAATGGCATGTATGGGGAAGGAGTGACAGGTTCAGGCCCCCCTGGACTTTTGCTTTGGTGGACTGAGGAACACTTTTTATTCATCCTACTTAATGGACCTAGCATATCTAGGCCCAGAGTTTTAAAGATTTCAGGCTGTGGAACATTACACTCTTGCTTCTGCAGCAAGGTTAGGCTTGTAGGAAAGAGCAATGCCAGGCTTGATACCTTCAAAAGTGTGTCCAATCTTCTCACCCCATGGAGGCTTCCATGTGCCTCACCAGGGCAGGGGTCTCTGGAAAGGCACAAAGCATCACTAATAGCATTTATGATTTTTGCTTAAAAAGGAAAAGAAATTTTGTTGGAACCAAATACTCTTGTAATACCTAAGTCTGAGTCTTTTTGACTTTGAGACCTGCAATTTTAATAAACTTCTTCCTCATTCTTGTGATCCCAGGTGGACAGTCATGTCATCAGGAATGACTTCTGTCCCCAGTCAAATCTCCCTAGGACATGCTCACAAAGCCCTGGTGCTTCTCCTTTGCAGCCCCAATTACAGATACATTTTTTTTTTCAAATAAACTTTTTTATTTTGGATTTATAGAAACATTGCAAAGATAGTACAGAGAGCCTCTGTGTACCCTTTACCCTGTCCCCTAACATTAACATCTTAACCTACCATGGTATATTTGTCAAAATTAAGGAGCCAACATTGGTATGTTACAATGCATTAAACTCCAGACTTTATTTGGATCTCACCAGTTTTCCCGCTTTTGTCCTTTCTCTGCTCCAGGCTCCAATTTGGGGTAACATTGCATTTAGTTGCCATGTGTCCTTGGTCTCTGGCCTGTGCACTGGGCTGGATACTGGGGAATCAGAGAGGAGACAGAGACACGCTCCCTCCCTGTGGCAGTGTCCCAGTATAAATGTCCTAAAGGAAAGGATAGGCAACTGGAGGTTACACACAGGACAAAGGGGATGTTGCCTGTGCTCCCTCCTGCTGGAGTCTTCTGTCTGTTTTTCTTTTCTGTAGTGGAGCAAACACTGATTAACTGACTCTTGGATTAATGCATTTCAAGGCATTGAGATCTATTTGTTAATCATTCACAATAAGTCAACTAGTCTTTCTATGACAGCCTTTTTTCTTTCTTATTTTTTTTTTAGAGGCAGGGTCTATCTCTGAAAAAATAGGCTGGAGTCTGTCTGGAGTACAGTGGCACAATCATAGCTCACTGTAACCTCCTATGCCTGAACTCAAGCGATCCTCCCAGCTCAGACTCTCAAGTAGCTAGGACTACACGTGTATGCCACCATATCTGGCTAATTAAAAGTTTTTTTTTTTGTAGAGATGGACTCTCACTATGTTGCCTAGGCTGGTCTCAAACTCTTGGCCTTACGTGATCCACCATGGTCTCCCAAAGTGTTGGGATTACAGGTATGAGCGACTGTACCTAGATATGACAGCTTTCTTAAGGACTTGAATTTCCTAAATTTAACCTCTTCCTAATGGGTTGACATTTAATTGGAAAATCAAGGAATCTGAATACAGTCTTGCACTATCTATGGGGGGTGGTTCCAGGACCTCCCAAACCCCAAAATCCACAGAACCTATTTGATGTAGTATTTCTGTATAACCTACACATATCCTCCTGTATACTTTAAATCATCTCTGGATTATCTATAATACCTAATACGATGTAAATGCTATGTAAATAGTTGTTATATTGTTTTATTTGTATTATTTTTATTGTTTTGTTGTTATTTTTAATTTTTAACTTTTTCTGGATATTTTTAATCTATGGTTGACTGAATCTGCAGATGTGGATATTGCGGGCACAGACAGCCTACTGTACTGGGTTTTCCACTAGTATTGGGACAAATTGGAGGAAAATATGTTCTAAATAAAAAGTTCTTCAGCCTTAAATGTGATTCTAGGACAAAAAGGAAACCTTCCTTTGACTTGTTAGGATAATTCTTCTTCCCAACCTGCTCCACTTCCAGGAGTATGGATAAGAAGCAAGAAGCTGATGAGCAGGTTCAAAAGAACAGGACACATTTCTAACCAGCAGGTACCTACAGGAAGCATAGGAAACCTGGGAATCTGGTCATTTTAGCAAATACATCCCTCCTAATTGGGGGCCAGCACCTTTTCACCTGTCCTCTTGAATGGAAAAGCCAAGCCCTGGGTGTAACTAATCAGGGTTTCCCCATCATTCCTTAAAAAGGCTTTGCTTAAGGTTGCTAGTGACCTCCTTGTTGTTCAAGCCAATGGCCAGTTCTCACTCTGCATTGTACTGGATCCCTTGTGTGGTGCAGTGGACACTCCCCCTTCCTTGATACCCTCTTTTTACTTGGGTACCACACTCTGTTTTCTTTCTATCTCACTGGTCACAAATTTTCAGTCTTCTTTACAAGATCTCCTTTTCTTCCCAGCCTCTTACTGTGGAGTGTCCCAGGGATCCTCGGTTCTCCTCTCAATCCATATGTACTCCCTTGGAGATCATATTTAGTCTCACTATTTTAAAACATTTACATGCTGACTACTTCTAAATTTACATCCCCAACCCAGGCTTCTTTCCTGAACTGCAAGTGTATATATCCTAAAGCCTATTCACGGACTGCACTTGGATGCCTACTAGATGTCTCAAACTTAACATGCCCAAACCTGAACTCCTGATCTTCCCCACAGACCTGCTCCACCCTCAGCCATCTCCATCATAGTGGTTGGCAACTCCATCCTTCAAGGTGCTCAGGAGAAAACCTGGGTACTATTCTCTTCAGACTTTTTTTTTTTTAATCAGATTTCATGTTCAATCTACCAGGAGATCCAATTCCAATTTACTCATTCATATATATATAAAATCTATCTCCTATTTTTCACCACCTCTCTGCTACCATCTTGGTCTGAGCACCCTTACTTCTTGCCTGGATTACTGCTACAGCCTCCTAACAGTGCACCTGCTTTTTCCTTTGCCCTTCCAGAGTGATATTCTCCTCTGCTCAAAACTTCACCAGCTCCCAATCTGACTTAGAGTTCTGATGACGTCCTGGAAAGCCCTATACAATCTAGTCTTCTGTGTTATTCTGTGCCTTGCTGTCCCACTGCTCTCTTCCTCACTTGCTCTGCTTCAGCCACTCTCCCTTGCTGTTTGCTTTGTTTTGTTTTATTTTTTTTGAGACCAAGTCTCACTCTATTGCCCCGGCTAGAGTGAGTGCGGTGGCTTCAGCCTAGCTCACAGCAACCTCAAACTCCTGGGCTTAAGCGATCCTCCTGCCTCAGTCTCCCGAGTAGCTGGGACTACAGGCATAATTATATATATATATATATTTGTAGTTGTCCAGCTAATTTCTTTCTATTTTTTTGAGTAGAGATGATGTCTCACTCTTGGTCAAGCTGGTCTTGAACTCCTGAGCTCAAACAATCCACCCACCTCGGCCTCCCAGAGTGCTAGGATTACAGGTGTGAGCCACCATGCCTGGCCATCCCTTGCTGTTTCTTGCACACACCAGGCACACATCTGCCTTGGGGTCTCTGTTCTAGCTGCCCCTTCTGCCCCAATTCCTCTTTCCTAGATAGAGTTTGGCTTGTTCCCTCACCTCCTTGAAACCTTTGCTTAAATCTTAGCTTTCCACAGAAGCCAATTGGCATCTTATTTACCTGTCCATCCCATCCCCATATTCCTGGGCCGGTTTGTTCCACTCTGCTTATTCATTTCCTTGTAGCACTTGTCACCTTTTCTTATAATCTATTCTTTACTTATTTTTGTTATTTTCTTATTCTTTACTTATTATTGTTATTTATTTATTTATTTTTGTCTTTCACAAGAATATAAGCTCCTTTAGGTAAGGGAATCTTTGTCTCTTTCTTTCTCTCTTTATTGCCCCCCACTGATACATCTAAGAACCTTGATCCATGCTCAGTACATAATAGGTGTTAAGTGTTTAATAACAATAAATGAATTAATAAATATATGAATTAATAAATGAATAAATAATAAACAAATAAATGAATTAATCAAAACTGACCTATTACAAGTACTATGTCTTCAAGAACTTGCTCATTGTTCTTTAAGCAAAGTGATTAAATTGTTAAGACTAATTCCTCCTCTATAGGAGGCAGGAATTAGGAGAGGGTAGAACGTGCATCCTCAAACTATGGCCCGTAGGCCACATGCGGGTGTTTTTGCCTATTTGTTTTTTTAACTCAAAATAAGATATGTACAGTGTGCATAGGAATTTGTTCATAGTTTTTTTTAAACTATAGTCTGGCCCTCCGACGGTCTGAGGGACAGTGAACTGGCCCTCTGTTTAAAAAGTTTGAGGACCCCTGGGCTAGAGGGTCTGGGAGGATTGTTTGGAGAAAGGAAGTATTTAAGGGTCTTCTTTAATCACCCAGTGTAGATGGCTACATAAGGGTGTATCATTATGGTGGGATTATAGCAGTATCTCAAACAATGGCTCCACCACTTATAGCTATGAGACTTTGGGTAAGTCCTAAATCTTAGTTTTCTCATCTATAAAGTGAAGATGGTGAGAGTACTAACTTGAATCATCATGAGAATTAGATGAGCAATGTAAATTGAGTTCTTGGTGCAGTGCTTGACTGGGGGAGTGGGGAGGAGGAGGAAGGAGAGCTGGGTGAGAAGGTGTTGAAACTGAAAGTGGGGAAGGTCTCCACCGGCTCCTGACCCACCTTGCACTTTTCCGAAGACTAGTCTTGTGTGTGCCCCATAGAAACGAGGAAAAGAAAGATTTTTAAAGTTAGATTGAAATTTGCAGTTCTAGGTGAATAAATGTGGGCAGTGAGCCAGAAGTTTCTTAGCACATTAAAGGTGCATTCATTGGAGATGAGAGAGCTTGGGAAAAGATTTTGTTCTGATTAAATATTGTTCTTACCTTCACTGGGAGAAAATGATGCGGTGACTCTGGAATGCATGTTTTGCTTTGTGTTTTCTTTTTGATGCAGATTTTGAGAGATGAGAGAACCGCGCTTGGGAGCCAGGAGTTGGGGGCAGGTATTGCTGGGTGGGACAGTGCACATGGTGAAAACGGGGGACTCTCAGGGAAGACGGGAGGCTGGCTTCAATGAATACAGGGTACCACACGGCAGTAAATCAGACTGCCTGCTTAAAGGGCCCACGGGTTCTGACTGCAGAGCTGGTATATTCTTTGTGAAGGTTGAAAAGAGGCCCCAAGGAACTTTAACTAGCATTTCATTGCAGGTCTTGGAGATAGACTGACCAGGGCCTGAATTCTGCCTCTCCCATTTCCATTGTGGTCTCTGACAAGTTGACATGTAGGTCTATTTCCTTGTCTATACATTAGCCAGGGTAAGAACCTTCTAGGCATGTTATGAGTGTAAGTGATGATCCAGGTAGGGTATACTGCAAAAAAATTGGGTAAATGTGGTCATGGTTTAGAAACTGGGGTACTTGTCCTAGAAGTTCAAATTGAGATACACTACTCTGAAACCTCTCTAACTGGCTCTTATAAAAATGAGGGCACAAGACAAGCTGATCTGAACTTTTTTGACACTTAATTTTGTTAAGCAGTGAGTGTGACTGGTAGAATTTAAGATAATCATACTACTACTAATAATGCTACTTGTCTTAAATCTTTGGACTCAACTCTGGCACTGTGCAGCCTGGGGGTCAATACAGATTCTCCTGGGTAAATTTGGGCAAGTCATTTAACTTCTTATGTCTATTTTCTCCTGTGTAAGGATATAGGGATGAAAGTAGTGCCTCCCTTATAGGTAGCGGTGTGCTGCAGCTAAATCTCTTAACCAGCTCATGAGAGCCTGTTGGGTACATCGCTTCCCAACTCCATGATCAGTGATGCTGTTGTTAGCTTGAAATCTATCGAGTATTTAACACCACAGCAATTGGCAACCACTACAAACTAAGACTTTTTTCCTCCTCTTGGAGGAGCCAGTTATCAAATATTTCCCAATAGAGTTACTTATAGGATTGTTACAAAGGTCGAAGTAATGAATGCTAAGGGTTTAGCGTATTGCTTAGCACATAATATATATGTAAGCACAGCTGTATACACGCACTTTTATCAGACAATTTTTGCTTTAAATAGTTTCTTTATTTTAAAAGTTTATTTTTTCAGGGGACATAGTATTTTAAGTCTATCCAGCCTCTTGCTTTTCTGAGATTCTGGCCAGCCCGACCTTCACTCTTTTAATACGAACAAAATGGCTTTTACATTGTGATCCTGTCCCTTGCTTAGCATTTTTCATGAAGGAATAGTCTGGCTGGTCTCTTGAATGGAAAAGACAATGTATGCTTGGGAGTTATTGGCAGGGACTACTTTTCAGCACAAAGACTGGAAAATTAAAAACACCTATTTGTACCAACAGAAAGATTTAGATGAAAAGATTTAGATGATTTAGATGAAAAGCAGAGGACAGAAATGGCCCCAAAATATCCTGGGTTCCCCATGACCCTCCTCTTTCTGCTTCTAATCTCATGTGAAAGCTGATGATATCTCTGCCTTTGGGTTCTATGAATCAAATTTTATTTTAAGTGCCTATAACAGTGTTTGGCACAGAGTAGGTGTTCAATATTTGTTGAATGAATAATAGATGTGCCTTTTTGCTTACGCTAGCCGTGTGCTGGTTTCCTCTACTTTATAGCCCAAAGGATTTTAACAAAGCATATAGGTTCTATGCTTTATGAAAATCTCAGTCATTAATGGCCAGGGAAAGCTGGCTCCACTCTATCTGTGACTTAAGACTCTAGCATTGATCTGGTGGCAGCCCCATGATGGGCACAGTTAGTATGAGCAACAGCCACCTTCTCTGGGCTCTAAATGTCTGCAATATCTCATTTTTGTTCTTTTTGTTGTTGTTTTTGTTGTTGTTGTTTTTTTAAATATAAGTAGTTAAAGGACTTTCTGGGGTGTGTGTGTGTGTGTGTGTGTGTGTGTTATTTATAGAATTTTAGGAAGGCAATGTGGGAAAGGCAAATGACACAGTTCAAATACAAGGTGATGCATTGGAGAAGAATTTTGTATCACAAACAATGGCTGAATCGGGGGATATCCACATATTTGGAGTATACCAGGGCAAAGACATTTATTTGTTCCTTGATCACTGAAGAATTGCATCTTTGGCAATCTCTGGAAAACCTTGACGATCTGTTGTTACTTAGCTGTGCAGGGCCTCTGTTGTGAAGGTCATAAAATCATTGCTTAAGGAATGTGCTCAGAGCAAGTGAAAGCAGCAAGTTGGAGAATGGAAATGGCGCCATCTCCAATATCGCAACAATTTTAAGCAATTTTGCAGTGAGATTGCAATATGGTATTCAACCAGTAAAGCTTGAGGCCAGAGACCAAGAGAACGCTGTAATATCTGCTGGGAATAAAAACACAAACACATTTGCTGTTGCCTTTTAAAATGCCGTAAGTATATTTTTGTCTTGGAGATCAGCTTACATTAGTTGTTTAATCTTCTCTTCCAACTTTTTACCATCAGCTCCACAAAATTCATAAATCTGTTCACAAATACACAAACGTGAAACATTTATTGGATCGAGTACTGCAAAGATGTTGAAGCTTTGAGGACTTTTGTTCCTGACTATAAAGTCACTGCTCCTCATTTCTATCATCTGCAAGACACTTTAAACATAAATATACATTGAACATAATAAATTCGTGATATTTTAGTATTTGGCACCCTTTCAAAATTGTTTATGATAAAGCTTTGCCAGATATCTAATTCTCCATAATATCCCTCTAGTCTAAGATCTAAAACATATAGTGGTGTTGGAAATGAAGAAACACAACCATTGAAACTTCTCAGAGCTTTTATACATTGGTATTGAAGGCTTGTTAATTTATATACATGATCTTCTAAAATCAAATGGCTTGTGGTCTCCCATTCTTCCCAGGTAATAGTATTACAATTAACTGATTCTAGGAAGCACATTTTCTTTTCACATTTTCACATTTCGGAATCAGGATGCATTTCACAGTGTATGGTATGTTATATTTTAATTGGATAGAATACTTTTTAGTAGTAAATGAAATAATGGTGCATCTTTCATGAGCATCTTATGTTTGATAAAATATGGAAGTCAAAGACCCTTCCTGTTCATTTTCACTTTAGTACTAATTGTATTATGTGGTTGGAGAGAAGGAAGGGTGTGGGTAAACTGAGACTTGGATTGGTTGAAGACTTGAGTTTCTAGTAAGGGGGGATTTTAGCAGCTAGGAATAGTGTTAGAATTTGGGGACAGGAGTTGGAAAAGCCTAGAACGGACATCAGTGCCCAGTGTGCTGCAGAGGAGAAAGCATCCCCACATCTGAGGATTCTGCACCACCAGCAGCAGTGTCTGAGGGCTGTCATTCTATTTATTCCTTCAAAGTAAACCCCAGACTTTTGACTCCCTCTTGATCCCATTTCGCTTACCTGCTTGACCACGAATCCACTTCTATAACAGCAAATTATTCTTTTGATTCTTGAGAATAGGTTTACCTAAGTGTGGGTGCAGAATTTCATGATTTATCTGAGTGTCTGGTTTGTAACCATCTCTCCTATACATAATTCTCTTGGCCTTGGCCAGGGAAGGAATCTGTCAGAAAGGATCTGCATCCCTGATAGTCTAGTGGCTAGAATAAAAAAAAAAAAGGATCTGAAAAAGTTTCTCTTTCCTGAGAGTCAAATGGCAGCACAGGTGGCAGCTGGATGGTGGTTCTGGGGCAGGAAGGGATTTGCATAATCTCTGGGACATCTGAGGCCAGAGCTGGTACCAGGACAACAACCTCTGGTGGGAACCCAATAGGGGCTTGGCTACCTGAATGACCAGACTTGGCAGGAAGAGGATGTTTTTAAGCTTAGCAAAGTGGCCAGTGTGCTGAACCCATTGCCAGTAAGCTAGGGACTGAGATGAGACAAAGGAAGCCTTAGCACGCTCTGCAATAAGGCTGGAGGCTGAGAGAGAGGGGTGTGTTTATTTTAAAACTCTTTTCACGTGGGAGCATCAGGGTTTCCTAGACAGTCAATCTGGTCTTAAAGGAAATTTATGCCCTGTCTCCAGCTGATGCTGGGGTGCAATGCAAGTGTAATACATTTGGGGTTCCACTTCAGTCTCTGTCTGTTTTTCCCATGGGAACTGGAAGGGCAGGTGTCACTAGGTGCGAGCAGTGGCTGCCCCTTATCCTTCTCTTGTAGTTTCTGTCCAGGATTCCTCCCAAGGCCCTGTCCTCTGCTCCTCTGCTCCAAGAGTAACTTGACTCTAGTGAAGATACACCTAAGACCCTCTGAGCAGAAGAGAAGCATGGGAAGGCAAAGGATGAGGAGACCCTAGGTGTGTCTGTTCCCCATGCCCACCACCATGTAACTCCAGATAGGCCTCTGAGCCTCCAATGGTCTAGAATAAGGTATTCTTGTCATCTTTATGACAATAACCTTAGTGGATCAGATTATGCCTGCTTGTCTTGGCCTATCCCCCACTGCCGAAGGGCACTGTGAAATCAAAGAGAGCTTGGGGTCCCCTTAAGATGGGCTTCTCTTCTTGGAGGAAACTACCCCTCGTGGAGGAATGGCACAGGCTCTAGGAGTGTAAGAAATAGGAGGGCACAGCCTTGAGGGGGTATTTCTAGGAAAGGGGATTTCCATGACCATGGGATTATGATATGACTTTGCTATGACACATGACAGCCACCAAGGGCAACCAGAAGCCACAAGTGCAATAACGGCCTTGGCTACTGTGAGTCTGACTGTTCTTCCTTCACACTCACCCTAGCACAGGATACTATCACCCACCCTGATACCTGAGCCAGGAAACCAAAACCACATACAAAAATTCACAAATTCATGAATCTGCACAAACTGTGAGAATATAGTTTGAAGAATTACCACAGAGAGAGCACACTGTGTAACCATACCTAGATCCACATACAGAGCTGTACCAGGACCCAGACACCTTCTCTTCTGTCATGGCCCAATGCCCAAAGGAAGCCACTATTCTGAATTCTTCACAATAAATTAATTTTGCCTGTTTTTGAAATTTTATAGATGGAATTCTACAAAATGTATCTTCTATGTCTGGCATGTTCCACTCGACATGATGCTTATAAGATTTATCTGTGTAGTGGCACTGCATTCATTTTTCTCTATCTTTTTGGTATTCTGTTGCATGAACATAACACAATTTATTCATTTTAGCCATGACAAATAGTGCTGCTAGGAACACTCTTGCCCATATCTTCGTGGGGACATCCTAGGAAGCACATAAGCATTCTGCTGTATAAGTAAAAGTGGGATTGTGGGTTCTGCTTTAGTAGAAGCTACCCAATTTTTGAAATTATGCTCCATATATTTTCAATTTATACTCTATCCTCAGAGGATGAGTATTCTGGTTGCTTCACATCCTTGACAACACTTGGTATTGCCAGTCTTTTTCATGTTAGCCATTCTTGTGGCTTTAGGACATTTAATTTGCTACCTAATTCCATGGATTTGACCTTGGTCAGCTTTCACCTGGACTTTAGCAACAGCTATATAACTTGTGTCTCTCTGTCTCAGTCTTGTGCCCCTTAGGTCCCTTCTTGTCCCTGAAGCTCAAAACCACAAATCCAGTCATGCCAGCCTTCTTTATAAATGTCTTCAGTATTTTCCCATAAAATCCAAACTTCTTACAAGGCCTCCTTGACTTTGTCCTGTCTACCTCATTGTCACTCCCTACCATAAACTCTGAACTCCAGCAACACTTTAGAGCTGGATTTATTTGTCTATTTAACAAACACTTCATGAGTGTCTACTGTGAGCTGGATTTATTGTGAACAAAAGAGACAGAATCCCCTCATGGAGCACATCTGCTAGCGATAATTTTGTATTATTGTTGTATTATTAGTCGCATGATTTCTGACACCCACCCATGCTATTTTATAACTCTGCTTCTTCCCATCTTTTCTCACTTGCTAATCTTAATCATTCTCCAAGATAGTTTGACTTTAACTCATGAAGCCTTCCTTGAACTTTTTCTCTGTGATTCCATAGCACTCTGTATATTCCAGTGTTAAATAATTGATTTTTGTCATCTGTCTTTTTCATGAGACCAAGGATGGAGATTATACCTTAATGTTTCCTTCATATTTTTAGTGTCTCGCCTAGAGCGTTACACAGAGTGGGTGCTCTGTTGATGCTTTTGGGCCTGAGTTGAGCTAAGCTGACTTCTGGTCATTGAACTATGGATCCAAGACTCTGGGTAGTGCTAAGTTTCAGGGACTAGGTATTACTTGTCTTATTCTTTTGTGTCCAGTTTGCCTAAGACAAATGTTAAATTTGTGTCTCCCTCTCTAGCACTGGGCTTTGCATACAGGAGCTCAATAGGATGAGGAGCAGGTTACAGATAAGAGCTTATGTCATAAGTAACTTTCCTTTGAAGAGATATGTATGCAAGGCAATTAGCACATAATTTCTGCCCAGAATGTTTTCTCATTTTAATCTGAGCTTGGTTGTGCCTCTCAAAGGCACACTCCACTCTGAAGCATCGGGAAGTGAGTTCACTTCTCTCTTCTCAATGACTTCATTTCTCCTGCACTGCTGCCACCCTAGAAATGACAGCTAATGAAAATTACAAGCTCCCGTTTGCTGAGACCAATGCGATAGGGGGTGGCTGTTCGTGCATAACTGAGCCATCTAAGCCCAACAATTAGTTCTAAAAAATATTTTAATATGGACATTTTTAAATATACACAAAAATAAAATAGAGGGACCCCCACATTTGCCCATTACCCAGGTTCAACCAGAGGCAGTTTTTTTTGTTTGTTTGTTTTGTTTTTTTGCCAAAGATATTTAATCTCGTATAAGAAGTCTATCCCTGTTGCTGGGAAACTCAAAAGGCAACTGGAGACAGTATTCCCCTCCTAACAAATGGACTTTTTAGAGTTTAAATTAGACTTCAGAATCTGACTAATGACACACTCATAGAATAATTATAATAAAATGCCTTGGCCCGTTGATAGACAATTTTGGTTGAGTGAATACTGAAGTTATATTTGGACTAGCTGTATGAGAGCTCATCAGTTTTCCAGACATCTGTACTTAGTTAAAAACAACAACCACCACAAACAACAAAAAAGCCTAAAGCAACCAACCAGCAAAAGACAATTTTTTGGGAATGGCTGTAGAAATGTTTGTATGTACAATACAATTTCATAATTTATCATGATTTTGTATTCTTTTTCTTTTTAAAGAAGAGTTTACTAAGGTATTAAATGGTATGAATAAAATGGAAAATATATGTCTAATAAGAGAAATTTCAAAAGTACTTCCACCTTCTGGGGAGAGGTAGACAATGTTAATTACTGCTTGATCCAATCTTTGCTCCTTGCTTTGATGCCCCCGACGCCATCTCTCCTCCAGAACCGTCTGCATCGTGTTGTAGGTGTTTGAAAACTTCCCTTTTGACTTTTACAAATCCTTACACTTGCAAGGCACTCTGGCTTTTGGAGTTGAGCTAACTCAAATCAAGAAGGCAGCTTGAATTTACATGCACTCAAATTCAAGAAAAGAGCCTATATTTGGGAGGCTGAGGTGGGAGGATCACTTGAGGCTCAGAGTTCAAGACCAGCCTGGGCAACATAATGAGACCCATCCCTACAAAATATATATAAATTTATATATTTTTATATAAATATATTTAATATATATTATATATAATAATGTAAATTAAATACATAAATATTTAAACACACACACATACCTATACACACACATACACAAGCACATAAATTAGCAGGGTGTGGTGGCACATACCTATAGTCCCAGCTACTTGGGAGGTTGAAGCAGGAAGATCACAGCCCAGGAGTTCAAGGCCACAGTGAGCTATGATCCTGCCACAGCATTCCAGCTTGGGTGACAGAGCAAGACCCTGTCCATCTCTTAACCTGTTAATTTATTTTTCTTTTCTATAGTGGCCTTTTCCTCATCTTGTTCTAATAATGAGATATCAGTAAAATACCAATTTACTTTTATTTTCTTGTAGCTACTTTAGAAACTGCTTACATATCTGATTCTTTGAGCACTGGTGGCACAAATCATGACAAAAGTGCTTTTCTTCTTCCATGTAATGGGCTTACAGACTTTGTTTTATAAAGGGTCAGATAATACCAGTTTTAGGCTTTGCAAGCCATTTTGGTCTCTGTTGCAACTACTGAAATTTGCTGTTGTAGTGCTAAAGCAGCCACAGACAACATGAAAACGAATGGGCACTGGTTGTGTTCCAGTAAAAGTTTATTTGCAAAAACAGGTGGAGGGTCGGGTTTGGCCCTTGGGCTGTAGTTTGCCAACCCCTATTCTGTGTTGTCAACTGAAGCTGTTGAGGAGGCACCTGAGCTGGCCGAGAGCTGGGTTCTCAGTACAATGTGGCTTTCTGTGGAAGGGCCACAGGGGCGTGGGCTAATGTGGGCATGCATCTCGAGCCACACGGAGAATAGGAGAAATGATTTTGGACTCTGGCCAGAGGAGAT